AGAGAGAGAGAGGGCACAAGCGGGAGGGGCAGAGGGAGAGGGGGAGAGAATCTGAAGCAGATTCCGTGCAGAGCAGTGGGCCCACGACCCCGAGATCATGACCCAAGCTGAAACCAAGAGTAGGCCGCTTGACCGACTGAGCCAGGCGCCCCACCTTGAGACATTTTTAATACTTCTTCCAAGTGTTATGCTTTCTTATTTTTTGCAGAGAGCACGGCCTATCCTCTCCACACTGCCAGAGCCCGCACTCCGTCCACAGCTCTGTCCTTCCATCCGCGGTGAGGACCTTCACCGTGAGTCCGCCAGAGAGCAGTCAGGGTCTGGGGGTTTCCAGACACCGATCTGGGGGCAAACTGCCAGACTGTGCCGGGGCTGCCTCCACGGTCATTCGGCACCTAACAGAGGAGGAGAGCCACCAAGAAGCAGAACATGCAGGGAGAAGCTTCAAAGAGGACAAAGGGATCAGGAACCTCCCCTAATTCCTGTTATTCTCCAGGGCTAGAGTTTGCAAGGTTCTTCTGGCACCTAGCTGGCTCAGTTGGTAGAGCATGCGACTCTTGATCTTGGGGTTGTAAGTTTGAGCCCCACGTTGGACAGAGTTTACTTAAAAAAAAAAAAAAAAGAAGTCTGTAGAGTCCTTGACCGCAGGGTCTGTCCTGCCTCCTTCCCAGAGTGGGCAGATCAAAGTGAGCTAATATAGGAAAGTTCCTTGCAAACTTCAGTTTGCTACATGGTTTGTTGCAGGGTTTTTTTTTTTTTTTTTTTTTTTTGAGAAAGAGCGTGGGGGGTGGGGCAGAGGGAGAGAGAGAAGCAGACTCCTCACTGAGCAGGGAGCCCAACACGGGGCTCAATCTTGTGACCCTGAGATCATGATCTGAGCTGAAATCAAGAGTCGGATGCTTAACCGAGCCACCCAGGCACCCCTCACGATGCCGTTACTATCTAACATGACAAGGAGACTCAGTGCAGGGAAGGAGACTTGCTCAGCCCGTTAGAGGCAGAACGGAACTTAGGCCATAGGTCAAGTTGGCTAAGGCAGAGCCCAGCACTCCGTCCTCATGGGAGTAGCAGGCCATCGTCAGGAGGCTCAGAGACACGTTTCCCCAGCAAAACTGGGTTCAGCTGCATTATTAGTGACCTTTAGTTGACTTTCAAAGGAAAGCTAAATCGAAATGGCCTTTCTGTGACTAGTTTTGGAGAACAAACCGCCCTTCTGGAAATTGTACAGGTGGCTCCCTCAGGAGGGCCTCGGTGCCCACACACCTTTCAGCTTTGTTGCAAGGGTTCCGTCCATCTGTGGGGCTCGGCTGCAAGGAGAGCCGGCCACCAGGTTTTGTTGCAGGAACAAGTTGATTGCTCTAGTCTGTGATTTGGCAAGCGAGAGAAATTATGCTGAGTCAATGTGACTAAACATCTGGACACACCCAAGTCACTACTGCATTAGGCGTTGCTTTGGGTAAACATGTTTAAACGTCGAATCCAACAGTCCCCATTCATTTCCTTTTATTACTAATGTTGCTTGCAGCAAAGCCATCCCATTGCTTTGCTGAGGTGCTAAAAACCAGCAAAAAATGCTGTTTCCCAGGACTGTTGGTAAACTGCCACAAACTGGTTTAGGAGAGGGCAGGTGTCAGGACAGTGACAGTCAGGTTTTCTCTTTTCTGCCAGCCAGGCCACTAGATAAAGAGCTAGCCGCCCCCCCCCTCCCCGAGACTCCCCAGCTCTTCTGTTTTAGAGATCTTGATTAACTGACCATTTGCGCCACTTGTTTCTTCTTCCTCCTTTAAATTCTTTTTTTTTTAAATTCACCAATAAACAGTGAGCCCAGGGACGCATGGGTGGCTCAGTTGGTTAAGTGTCTGCCTTCGGCTCAGGTCATGATCCCGGGGTCCTGGGATCGAGCCATGCATTGTGCTCCCTGCTTGGGCGGCGGGGTGGGGGGGGGGGAAGCCTGCTTCTCCCTCTCCTGCTTGTGCTCTCTTTCCCTCTCTCTCTGACAAATAAATAAAATCTTAAAAAAAAAAAAAAAAGAGTGAGCCCAGCTAAACCCTGGATCTCCTCCTCCCCTAATAAAAGCAGAACCCCAGGCCTGGGTGCTTTCTCTAACTGTAACCTTGCTGGGTGGCCCCAGGAGTGCCAGGCAATTTTCAGGTCCTGTAAAAATAATAAACCTTTTTTGTTGTTGTTGTTCCCCAGTTTCCTGATTGTTATTGCCGGAGGGCACCTTGCAATCAAAATAACCACAGGGCTGGTCTAGCCACAACACTGGTTACTGATGGGCTGAGCCCAGCACACAATAGCAGGGCTGGGACAAAGGCAAGTCTCTCCTAGAGATGAACAGAGTAAAGCTAAGGCTTGCTAGAGCCAGAGCAAGCTGACCTTTAGTTTTTAGAAAATCCTCAAATGCTTGGCTTAGAATGCTTAAGAAAAGTCAACTCAAGTTATTCTTCACCTTAACTTTTCACCTTGCCCTAAATCCCCAAATCCCAAATCAAAACACGGGCATGAATTCTATAAAAACAGCCCTTCTATGCAACTCTCCCAGGGCAGAATCCTTTGTTAGACTTACGTAAGAGAGTGTCTAAGTTAACAAACATACTAGTTGGGGCAGATTTGAAAATCTCAGCTCTGCCACTCACCTGCTCTAAATTCCTGCAACTGAACTCAAAGGACTCGTTCACCTGCTAGGTAGAAAGAGCAAATATGGAAAAAACCCAGGAGACCATATATTCAAAAGCCAGAGGAGCAGGCAGGTGATGTACTCAGAAAAGCTAAATTAAAAGGGACTGTGCAGGGCGCCCGGGTGGCTCAGTTGGTTAAGCGACTGCCTTCGGCTCAGGTCATGATCCTGGAGTCCCTGGATCGAGTCCCGCATCGGGCTCCCTGCTCAGCTGGGGGTCTGCTTCTCCCTCTGACCCTCCTCCCTCTCATGCTCTCTGTCTCTCATTCTCTCTCTCGCAAATAAATTTAAAAAAAAAAAAAAAAAAAGGGACTGTGCAGAGACAAAGAGTTCCTAAGGGACGTGGAAGAACCTCCAAACCCGACCACAAGTGGAATGACAAGAAATATCAGGTAGAAAAGTAACGCATTCAACGTACACAGTTCCGGGGGACCTCCTGATGTTCTTGTACTATCAGCTTTGTGAGAGACAATGGCGACCCTCAAGAGAGCGACCCTGGTGAGGGGCCAAGCCTACACGAGCCTAGATGAGGTGTGGTTGCAGGAGACACCCACTCTGTAAGACTAAGTCGGTGTCGGTGCAAATCCAGTGCAATTCAGGAAGGCATGGCCGACATAACCCCTGGAGCCGACTTAGCTCTTAAGGCCGGAGTCCCACGGAGAGAAGCTGTGGCGATCGTAAGAGGCCCTGCGTGTGCTCCCAGCACTGGCTGCCTGCAGGTGCCCCCAGGGGACCTGAGACCCAGCGCGCCCCCGCACCAGCCTGCAAAGCTCCCCACGCTGGTCTCTTCCCCTTGCCGGGTTTCCCTTCCTGCTCACACATCCAGTCTGCACACAGACACGTTCGTCCTCTCCCTCCCGACTTGTCCTGGTGCCAGTGTTCCAGGACCCAAGCCTTGGTTCTCACCGACTACTCATTCCCGGGCCTCCTCGCCTCCTGCTTTCTCTGTCACCCTCACGCTGACAACTCCCAAATGTGCGTCTCGGGCCCCACCTGTCCCCTTGAATCCAGCAGCCTCGGCAGCTATATAGTCGGGTGGAAAAGTCGGGGTCTCCACGTGAACGTGACTGGAACCAAATCCTTCACTGAGCACCGCCAGCCACCCCCACCCCATTCTCCCAGTCTTCTTCATTTTAGGCAATTGCAACGCGTTCTTTATGCTCAGGCACGCATCCCAAGGTACCTCTCTCCCCGACTGCATGCAGTGGCTCAGCAAATCTGTTAGCTCTGACGTTAGAATATCCTCAATCTGACCACATCTCCTGCCTTCACTGCTCCTACCTGGGTCCCAGCTGCCACCCTCCTCTGGGGACATTGGGCAACAATTTCCTATTTTGTCTCCCTTCCTCCACTAGTCCCCCATCCACACCCCCAACAGGCTGTTTTTCACCCAGTAGTCAGAATGGTCTTTTGAAAACACAAATAGGACCATGTGACTCATCTTCCCCAAAGCCTTCACTGGCTTCCTATTTCACACTAATGAGAGTTACCTAAGCCTTAAACCACCTGGCTTTTAGTTACTTGCTGCCGCCAAGGCTCTCGTGTTCTCCCTTTACCCAGACGGGCCTCCCTGCTATCTTTGGGACCGACAGAGGACACTGCTGCCCAAGGGCCTAGCTTCTCTGCCTCCTTGCCCAGGCTTTGCACGCATATGCATTCCCTCATATTCAAGTGTCTGCTCAAAAGTTCTCCGCCAACACAGGCCTTCCCTGACGACAAGATCTAGAGGGATGCCTCCCTCCCACCCATCCCTTCCATTCACCTGCTGTTTGCTCGGTCACTGACCACTTGACGTTAGACATTCCCCATTCGTGACATAAAGGTCTTTCCTCATGGGGACGGGAATGCTGGGGTGCGTTGTTTGCTGCTGAGTTCTCACACCCCGGGCGCGGGCATGGGGTGGGCGCTCAGATGGGCACTGACCCAATCACTGCCCTTTACCTGAATGCTGCTTCTTCCTCCCTTCTGTCTCCCCCCAGACAACCAGGATGGTGGTCCCTGTTCATGCTCTGTTCATAATGGGAACTTGTTAAGTGAAGCACAGGGTGAATGATTCAACCTCTCTGCCCAGAAAAACCACACCACCACTGGAGAGTCACTGGTAGGTATCTAAGGAGAGGCTTCGGGAGAACCCAGACGACACTCAGGAGGAAAGCATTTTCAAAGAAACAGCACGAAGAAATAGCACCTGGCTTTATAATAACCCTACTCTGAATGATCAGAAAAGCCACAGGTCACACCACAGTAGTATCTTTGCAAGTCAAGAAATCTTGTGTAACTACCTTTCAAAGGATGCAAGAATAAATGCACGTCAAGAGCCTTCTGATGCACTGGTTGTACCTTTATTATGTTTACCTCGTTCACTAGGAGTTCCGTGATGCAAGGTTACCATACACAGTTAGATAATGTCCGCATTGCACATCTAAGGCTATACAGCAAAAGAACCAGAATTAGTACAAATACAAGAACTATATTTACATTCTGTATACTCAAGCTCCAACATCAGATAATATTTACATAATAAAACATGAAAATGAAAATCTGAAATTAATAATGTACATTGTTGCTAATGAGCTCAACTCCTTGCTGGGGAGAGATCAGTTTGCAAAGTCTTGGTTCAGAAAGGCCACACGTGCTCCACGGGTTCCGTGGCAGCACACGCGGATGGTGAGAAGAGACCCGAAATCCCGACGGGTGGCCCCTTGCACACGAGAAGGCCGATGGAGGCCTCAGGCGAGCTGATGCCAGAATGTGCAGCCTGGAAAAAGGGAACTTGAAGACATGAAGACAACACGCAACAGCCAGGGTTTGGCAAGAGACCAACCTCAGCTCGGACTTCCTGAGCACAGCTTTTAACATGAAATTTGCATCAACTCTCATTCTTTCCTTTAAATGATCAGAGGCTTTCTTAAGATTCATGGGGGCTCAAATCCGGATTTCATAAATGGCCTTTTGAACAACCGCAGATAATCTCTCAGCTGACATTGCCATTCCCTACGGAAGCACCATCAGTACATCCCTGCTACACGGTCATGGTTTGGCCGCACACTGGGGTGAGTCGTTACTGGCCATGGTGGACAGTGCAGTGCCCACGAGTCAGAGTCCTCTTGCAAATACATTCAGCAAACCTTCTGAAAGCTGCAGCAGAATTAGTGTCTTCTTTTTAAGGAGCAGGTTAACATCACATTTTAGAAAGGGAACCCAAAGCAAAAACGAAGGACCCAAGTCAGAGAGACAGACAAGCCCTGACCCCGTCCTGGAGGACCCGAGTGGACGCAGCGTGAGGAAATGGCGCGTACCGGAACTGCTACGCCCTAGATCATCCGTTCTTTCCCAGTCCAATGTGCAATTAATTACAGTGTATAAATATACAAATACCTTACAAAATTAAATATCCCTGTAAACCACAACAAGCAGCAGGCAATACAGTCTTTGCTTTGAAATGTGCCAGGAGAAGTCATTTTATTTTTAGATCCCTGAAGATCTTTCCCAATGATTTAACTTATTCCTTCATCTTAAAAGAGCTGAAAAAACCCACTGAAAATATGAGTAGCTATAGAAGTTCAATGGTAGCTGAACGGGGAAATAAAAATGTAAAACAAGAGTGGTTTCTTAGCCAGGAAAAATCATTTTCCTTCCCCTCACAGTGATGGCGCAAGTGTTTTAACGATGTGCTAGGACTGGAGTGCCCACCCGGCTGCCAGCAGCTGCCCCTCCCCGCAACCCTGGCTGTGTGCGCGGCTGGTCGGCCCTGCACAGCCTGGCCCGAGAGCTGGCTGACTCCCAGGCAGGCGCAGAGGTGAGGAGGCTGTGGGCACTGGTTTGGTGTGGGCTGTGAGGTCCTGTTTTGCTTTGGCAGGAGAAAGGAGGGTGGGGAAGGAGGGGAGGACATGATTACTTTTAACTAGCACTCATTTCTTCTTAATTTGTGTAAGAGCTTTTTCTTTCTTTTTGTTTTTTGCTTGTTTAAAGGAGTGCTTTAGGGAAAAAAAAACATAAAAATACCCTCAAAAGGTAGTTTCCTTAAATACCAGTATTAATATTATATTAATATCAAATATCAATTTTTCTGCCACCATGGCTTCAGCTAAATCCTCATAAATAGTTCCTGCCATAAAAGCTCTCTCAGCTTCGAAAGTGGGGATGGATCTGTCCAGAAGGGGAACATTAATCCTGAAACTGTTCCAACTATAATCTGGATATGGGCCGCTAGAGGAAAAGGGGGAACCAATAAGGGCTGTCCTCAGACTTTCGGTGGAAAGCACACCTGCCAGAGACCCCTGCCAGACGCGGATGTCCTGCTTCCTCAGGGGGCCCTCTCCCCCCGGGTGTTACCAACAGTCCAGTTCTACCTGTCCTAATCTCTGACACCTCCAAAGCAAAGACTTTCCAAGCCAGTTCTGAGTGAGAAGAAAAATCAAATGCCATTTCAGTGTATCACATGATGTGACTCCCCCTCAGCCCTCCCCACCTCCCTCTGTCACGGACATGGGTCCCTCTGTCAGACTTCGTGACAAACAGCAGCGGCACCCGTGACTTCATTCTACAACGTAACCTTCGAATTTCATCTTCATTTCCCCTGAAATCAGATTTCATTCCAGTCCAGGAGCGGTCTCTAAGCACCAACAGATCCTGGATTTGAGTCTACACCAGAAGGGCATATTGTGTCCATTAGACAACTAAGGAACCTCTAACTACATTAAAAACCTCAAGTACTGCTTAGAAAACAAACAACATCACAGTTAATGACCTATGTTTTAAGGAGAGGAAGGAAGTTAAAAAAAACTACTGTAGAGTTTTTATTGATCACTTTCCAGCTAAGGTCACAGCCTGGGATTTCTAGCCTGTCTTTTAAGCTCTCCACGATTCATGTTTCCTCCTCTTTGCAGGGCAACTCTACTGAGGCCAGGAGACCTGTTCTTAGCGATGAGCCCAACCAGAAAGTCAGAAGCAAGGGTCTGCTGACACGTGCCTGCCCAGCTCTATTCCACAGCGTGCACCAGCCCCTGCCCTATGCTGCCTGAAGCAGAAAATCAGCCGGTCCCCACCACCTGAGAGGCAGCAACTTCAAGGCTGGAGACCCTCAGTCTCCGCGAGGTGGGAGAGGGCAGATACTTTTCTGAATGCCTGAGGGATGGTCAAACACAGATGTGCGTGAGGGAGGTAAAGGATGGTACAAAACACCCCAGGTCAGATGGCAAAGCAGCTGAATTAACCTGCAGGCCTTCTTTTCCCCAGGCCATTCCTGTAAAACTTACTGGCAGCTGAAAGAAAGAGTATCTTCTTCCATGATGGCGTCTGGAGGCGGATGACCCTGTTCTGTCAGAGAAGGAGACTGTCAGCAGTGAGCTTCCTCCTTTCTCCTCTGGCAGTTTTTCCACTCCCGTGAAGATAACCAAGGAGAGGGAAGGCGGAGGCAGCAGTAAGCCACTGGGGCCAGGACTCAGGTGCGCCTCTTCTCTGCCCCCAGGTGTCCTTTTGGTTTTTTGTTTTTTTTTTAGTGGTGGAAGGGGATTGGTTTTAATCCCGGGATCCAGAAAGCAAAGACTGCCTAGTCTGCTTATTTATGATTATAGAGGGAGAAGCATTACTGAAAGTATTTTCAGTTTGACAAGGATCATTGGAAATGACCACTGGATTCAGAGGGAGACTTCCAAGTCTATACTTGAGAGTTACATTTCTTTGATCAAAGGGAGCTACACCCATCACAAGGTCACTACTCAGCATTCCCATAATTATAATGACAACAACGACCATCAAGTTCATTAGCAGAAGTGAGTCACTCCCCCCTTGTGGGACGTTTGTGTATGACATTGTACTAATTCCGAACTGTACCATCACTAATGCCAAGAAGAGAAATGAGAAACTGAGAGAAAAGCAGTTCACAGGAGCACTGCTGTGAGGAGCTATCCTCATCCTGCTGTCAGCCCGCCGTCATGACCCACTGTCAAGCCCCACGGTCCCCTCAAATCCACGGGCAGTATCCTCGGCCCCTCCCTTCTTACAAGGTCAGCAGCAGCCACTGTTCCAGGCCCGCTAAGAAGTCCTCCCTTCTCTCTTCCACTAAAAGAAAACCGTATAACTACGTTCTAAATAAGCTCCATTTCCAGAGAATACACCTGTGCCATTTCTAAGCTCCCCACAACCTTCTCCCTGAATGGAAAATGCAGGGATTAGCAATGGCAAAGAGATGGAAAGGGAAAAGGTAAGTTTTTTCCTTTTAGGTTCTAAAAAAAGCCAGATGTTTCCTCCCGTAGTCTCTAAGCCACCCCCCCCACCCAAAATTGAAGTGATATCACAAAGAGAGAAAAGGAAAAGCATTATGTTGTCTTAAAAACAGACAAAGATATCCAAAGACAGCAGTACAAGACATCACAGGGGGTCATAATGGGGACCTATCATACAAAAGGAAGCCAAAGACACAAAAAAATAATTTGGAGATTCACTGGATCCCCTCTGGGTTGTTGTTGTTTGTTTTTCTCCCTTGTTAGGCCACATGCTGCTACCAAGATTCTCAGCACAGGGAAAAAGAGAAGGGTACAGAGCAACGGAGACGGGGACCAGGAGAGCTAGCAGGAGTGTTGACAGGAGGGAAAGCAGTTACCCCACAGGCTTACACACGAGAGGGGCCATCAAGAATCACAGAGAGAAGTAAGAGGCAACACTTTCTTTATCTCTCGAAGGCAAGTGAGGATGCTCAGCAGGGTCACTTAGTACTTCGGTTCGCTGGGGCATCTGCGAGAGAGTTTTGACCTACAGGTGACAGAGGAAGAGGATGGATTAGAAAGCTGGATCCAGATGTCTCTCCTCTCACAGGTCTCTCTCCTCTACAGTTCCCTCCTTGGGCTTCTTCTTCCCCTCCAGCACTCAAGTCTCAGGTCTCTAGGCTCCCTGAATAAGCAGGCTAAGCTGCGGGGGCCCCTGGGACACAAGCCCCTCACAGGATCAGAGGCTGGATCACAGGGTGGAATACTGGGAGACCATGAAGGTTTTCACCACCTTCCCCTGACTCAGTCAAAAAAAAAAAAAAAAAAAAAATCTTAAAAAACAAAATCAAAGCAGGACATTAACTGGGTGCAAATGTGACCAGGTTCCCTTAGCCATTCAGGACACCAGGTGACACCTTATGAGAAGCGGAGGCCTCATCACCACCTTACAATCACACTTATGCTGCTGTCCTCCCTCCCTCTATAGTCAACGTACTTTTTGGGAACAAGACTTCCTTCTCGATTTACATTGACCAGAAGCCTAGGAGAAGAAGGAAACACGAGGACAACTTCTTACCGTATTGTGCCAGCAAGGAGTGGGTTAAAGGCATATAACCAGTCGTTCATGTCTTTGTCATTGAGAGCCTGTAAAAGGACCCCACGATGCTTTGTGCATACAGCAAAGATGTTCGGTGTCTGAAAGAGACACAGGGAGACAGGAGGTTGTGATGGCTGCTGACAACGGGGACGACCCTGCCATATTCCCAGGGCACACAGAACCTCATACTGAAGGTTCAGGGAGACCAGACACATAGGAGAGATGCCACACTACACAACAGAGTTCAGAACTCAGAAGGAAAGGGGGCAGGCGGCAATTAGTAGCCAAAAGAGCAGGACTGACCTTCACCATGGCCTGCTGGTCCTCGCTATATTCCACCTGTGCTGTGGACAGGTTAATGATGCCACGCTCCACTGGGTCTTTGTCGCTGTTATAGATAAAGACATAAGGGCGACGGACCACAACAAAATGTTTAGCCCAGTTGCTGTAAAGTGGCTCCTTGAAATGCAGGTATCCTTTCTTAGAGACCACGGAGCTAAAAAGGGCAGTACAAGAGAGGTTAGTTTCTCACAAAAAGAAAGTGATCACGGCCTGAGGAACATGAAAATATGTCTCATCCTAGGCCCTAGGATGAACAAAACAGGCAAAAGATCTGTTTGGCTGAGAATCTTCTCTGCTGAAGTTACACAGCAACAGAACACAAAGTACGGCCCCCACAGCATACTGTGGTGTGGTGGAGATGCCTGATAGGACACAAGTGTGGCAGGAACCCAGCCTGGCTCTTTATCCCAGATTCCACTGATATTAGACAATAATATTCACCTCAAGTACAAGAGTGGAGAGTAAATTACTGTGATTTGTCTTTTATACCTGGCATCTTTGGTCAATACAATACTCACCCTGGTCTAATTTCTTCCATATCTGGAACAAGATTGAGAAATTCATTTTTTCCTGCTCGGGCCAAATAAGGTGTTTCCACAGTTGGGACAATCTGAAACTGTTCAAATTCTGGGCAGGGACTAGAGGCCCGGGAATTGGCTTCTGGGGTCCTTTAAAAGAGAAAGGTTAGGGGTAATAGGAGCTTCAGCAAGGTCAATGCATAATGTGTACAACCCTCTCACCAGGAGGAACAAGCTCTCCCCTTAAGAACAGGGGCCTTGCAAACATCAGTTTCAGAGAGCTAAGACAAGCTGGTGTCAGAAAGTTAATTCCAACTTCAACTGGGGTCATCCTTTAGAAGTTACAAAAGTCATCAAGGCCCACAGTCCCTCTTCCGACTCTGAAGCCCTCTGAACAGAAGCGTCTGGGGCATGAACTCCATTCCCTTACATGTTTCTATTTCGTTTCAAGGCCACAACTAGGGCAGTGATTCTCAAAGTGTAATCCCTGACCAGCAGCATCAACTTCGCCTGGAAACTTGTTAGAAATTCAAATTCTTGGGCTCCAACCCAGACCTACGGAGTCAGAAACGATGGGTGGAGTTCAGCCACCTGTACTTTTAACAAGCCTCCCAGGTGACGCTGGTGTGCACTGACCTCTGAGAACCACGGCCACAGGGGGCTGGCAGAGAAAGCAAACGAGTGGGAAGAAGCTGGCTTCTGGAACGACCGCCGACTGAGAGCGGTCGGGACCATGACATGAGCAGGAGCTCCTATGCTCTGCACCATGGGTTACCGTAGAGCAGCTCAGCCTGATGAATTGTATCCCATCAACTCTAAAAAGCCCATCTTTTAATACTTCACCATTTCTCAAGTTGGGATGCATCGTACAATTGATGACACATTTTGGTTGGCAGTGTTTTTTTCTTTTGTAGTGGCACATAAAATAATGTTATGGTTGATGACATCGCAAATTAATTCAATTACCTGGTTGTGTTATTTTCTCAGCCACACTCAACTGTCGCCGTGTTGGTACAGTAAGACAGACAGCTGGACGATACCCAGGTGGGTTCTGACAGGTGAGCACAACGAATGGAGACGGGCCAGGGAGTGTGATGGTGAGTCACAAACAAGTGATTACAGTGATGAATTCATGGGATCTAGACTACATTTGTCTCTATTATTCTTACCAATATGTTTTATTGTGCCATTAAATATATTTTCCAAACTAGTTTTAAACTGTTTTCCCCAAGATGGGACTTGGTCTGTCTGGTATGACTGGGGAACCAAAAAGGAGTGGGAATGGAAGGCCAAAATGAGCAGGAGAGGGATTCAGAAGAGGAACCAAGGGTTTTCTTATAGAAAGTTGGTGAGACATGGTGTTAGAAGGTACAGGAGCATCTCCCTGGGACTGTGATACCCAGAAAAGGCTCCCACATACTTCTGAGTGCTGCCAAGACGGATGGTCCTGCCCTCAGCAGAGAACCACTGAGCTAGAGGAAGGCTGGTGTTTCTCTGGTTCTTAGGCTAGCTTCTCTCAGTGAAGTCTGGGTACTTGCAGCTTCTTTTTTTTTGAATGTATGTATGTATTGTAATCATTACCACCAACGTGGGGCTTGAACTCAAGACCCTGAGATCAAGAGTTGCATGTTCCACCAACTGAGCCAGCCAGGCGCCTCTTTTAATTATGATTATGATTATGATTATTATTATTATTTTTAAGATTTTTATTTATTTATTCATGAGAGACAGAGAGAGAGAGAGGCAGAGGGAGAAGCAGGCTCCCAAGGAGCAGAAAGCCCGATGCGGGACTCGATCCCAGGACCCTGGGATCATGACCTGAGCCGAAGGCAGACGCTTAACCATCTGAGCCACCCAGGCACCCTGATTATTATTTTTTTTTTAAGTAAACTAGGGTACTTACTTCTGATCCAGAGAGTTGCTCCTAGCCTCTACCAGAGAAGGGCAGGTGGAGGAGGGAGTGAGGGTCGCACTGCTGAAACTGGACACAGAGGGATCCCGTCCGATAGGAGAGATATCAGACAACTGGAGGCAAACAGGAGACAGCCAGTGAGATGCAGCTGAAAACCCAAAATACCTCTGCAACGAGGAGCTTTGACACCCAGTGACCTCACATTCGTGTATCTGCTGCTGTAGGTTATTCAAGAAAACGACTTATAAATACTTTATGACCTGAATGTCACATTAGGAATCATTTACAAAAGAGGCAAGGCTGGCTTTTTATTTTGTGACACTCCTGCATTAATTAAATGAACCTATCTCTATGAGCCCAGTATTTAGAACAACAGGCACTATTCTAAGAATATGGCAGAAGCCCTGCCCTCCTGGAGCTTACGCTGTAAGTGGAGAAGGCAGACAACAAACAAATCAACAAACACTTTGCAAAGTGTCAGGTAGTCCTATGATCCAGTAATTCTACTACTGGGTATTTACCCAAAGAAAATGAAAATACTAACTCAAAAAGACATATGCACACCTATGTTCACTGCAGCATTATCTACAATAGCTAAGATATGAAAGCAACTCAAGTGTCCATTGATAAGATGAATGAATAAAGAAGATGATCTATATATACAATGGAATATCATTCAGCCATAAAAAGGAATGAGACCTTGCCATTTGTGACAAGATGGATGGACCCAGAGGGTATTACACTAAGTGAAATATGACCAAGAAAGACAAATACCGTATGATTTTACTTACACATGTGGAACCTAAAAAACAGAAACAAAACCAAGCAAAAAACCAGACTTTTAAATACAGAAAACAAACTGAGGGGAGACCAGTGGGGGGATGGGGGAAACAGATGAAGGGGATGAAGAAGTACAGACTTCAAGTTATAAAATAAGTAAGTCACGGAGATGAAAAGTCCAGCATCGGGAATACAGTCAATAATACTGTAATAACGTCGTGCAGTGACAGATGGGGACAATACTTATCGTGTGGTGAGCCCTGGGTGATGTACAGAACTGTTCAATCACTGTGTTGTATGCCTGGAGCTAATTTAACACCGTGTGTCAACTACATGTCAATAACACAAAGCATCAGGTAGTGGGAAGGGCTACAGCAAAAACTAAAGCAGGGAGAGAGGTCAGACAGCTTCAGAGAGCTGCTGCCTTTACAGAGGGGGCTAAGGAGTTCATTTTTGAGCTGAAAAATGGACAAGAAAAGGGCGCCAATCGTGGGCACTTCTGGAGGAAGACTATCCCGGGGAAAGGGACAGCAAGGCTGCCAAGGCCACCTAGGCAGCTGGAGTCTGAGGATCAGCAAAAAAATGTCACAATGACTAAAACTGCATGAGCACTGCAGAGGTTCTTTAAAGTGCTCACCTCACTCTTTGTTGAAGGTGATAACATTTAATGCCACCACGAACCTCAGGACTTCTGGTGTCCTGTCACACAGTGACATACCAGCCCCTACAGAATCTCCTCCAAGGGATTCGGGGAAAAGCCAAAATGTTTCCCATCTGATAACACTCTAAGAGACACAGGGGGATGCCTTTATCTGCAGAAGTCAGTGTTCTGCCTCTGAGAAATTAAATAAATACAAGAGCAGATATGCCCTGCATCCTCAGACCCAAAGCTACACCCATCTGAAACCACCTCAAAGCAGGGAGCCTGGGACGGGAAATCTGAGCTGCTCACCTTACAGTCGCTGATGCTGCCGTGCACCTGGCTGAACTCCCGGTTGAAGGTGTGAGTGAGAAGTTGCAGGCACTAGGGAAGAGAGAGGAAAGTGTGAGTTTCAATGGTTAAATGAAGCCCTGGATGCAAGGCAGGAAGAGAAAACAATAGGCTAACACCCACAGGGGAGCTCAGGTGCTGCCACAACAACTCTAGAATTAAGTAAGAATTTAGCAAGGGAAGCCTGGAGTATGCCTAACGGAGACAAATTAAGTGGATAAAAGGGCCAGTCTCAAGACGACGAAAGCAAATAGCTGCCAACACCACAGCTGAGAAGTGCTTAAGAACACAACAGTGCCCCTTCCGATTTGTCCTGGTACTAAAAGTCATGGACACTTCTGGATGGACCTATTTTTCTAAACTGACTAGAAGACCGTTTGGTTATTGAAACAACACGACACAGAAGCCCTCTCACCTCTATATTCCATTGTGGGCCAGTTGTCCAGACACCATATGCCCGAGTGTCATCCTCAGCAACCCCTCTGCCCTCTCCCACCCCATCTGGGCAACAAGGAGTGCCGACTCTACCTCCCCAAAGTCTCTTCTGTGCCGACTCTTCCTCTTCTCCCTGCAGCCTCCCGCCTCAGCTGAGACCCACACCATCTCTCATCTGGAGCACCGCAATAAAGAGCTCTTTGGGCCTCTAGGCTCTGTCACCCTAAACCCACCCTCTTTCTTGCTGCCACAGCAATCTTCCTAAAACACAAACACCTGTTTAAAATATTTCCACATCACCCCCAGGACATTCTCCATGCTAGTCCAATCCCCAGATCCCGCAAGATCTGGTCCTGCCCCAAGTCTCTGACTCCATGCCCTGCCCCTCCCCACGGTCCCCATGTGATTCCCTAGCACTGAACGTGTAGCCTACGAGGCTCCCCCTCTGGTGCAGCCTTCCAAGCTCAGCTCAGCAGCACCGGCCCGTGGAGGCCTCTCCTCGGGCTCCCCCAGACTCCAGACACACACCTCTATTATATGCTTGTCACCGAGTCACCTGTGAGTTCAGTAAGGATAGAAATGGAGTCTTATTTATTTCTACCTTCACAGCTAGTGCAGGCCTTGAAACAGAGGCCCTCAAAGGAAGATGAAAACGAAAAATCCAACAAGCTCACAGGAGTCTCACGGTGGGAAAATGCTCGGCAACGAGGAAGGGATTCACACCTTGGTAGCCAGCTCCTTCTCTCGATCCACCAGGCTTTCAATGTCTGTCGAGTCGTAGCCGCTGCTCTCACTGGGGGTGATGGCGCTTTCAAAGGTGGTGGTAGAGATCTGAGAGGAGATGCTGGTGGAGGTGCTGAGGGTCCCACTGCTGAGGCTGGGGGACGAGTCACTCAGGGATTTGGGGATGCTGTCACCAAGTCTCTCACGCAGCAGCAGGAAGTGGCGAGTTTTTTCCACCTAAGAAGATCAACACAAATGCCTCAGCAAACATAAAGCTTGTTAAGATTCTTTTTTAAAAGATTTATTTGTTTGAGAAACGAGTGCGAGTGTTCACATGTGCGAGTGTGTGCACATGTGAACAAGGTAGGGAGGGGCAGAGGGAGACTGAAAGGGACAAAGAATCTTTAGCAGACTCCCCGCTAAGCAAGGAGCCTGACATGGGGCTCGATCTCATGACCCCAGGATCATGACCTGAGTCGACAATAAGAGTCGGACACTTAACTGACTGAGCCACCCAGGCACTCAAAGCTCGTAATCTTAATAAGCAAAATATGCCTCCATCATAACTGAAAGCTGAAAAGCCAAGATCACACAGAGAAGGTGAGTGTGACTGACACTTTGGGAGTCGTGCTCCAGAGTTCATCTGAGCGTCTCCTGCCCTTGGATACCTCGTGAAGGAGCTCCAGCTTCTCTAACTCCCACTGGTGCTCCAGGATGAGACTGTCCCCGCGGGGCCGCCAGCCTGCTAAGTTCTCTTCTCCCCGCACATAGGCCACAGACGTATCCAAGATTTTTCTTCTCCTCCTCTGCATGCCTGAGACAAGAGGAAATAATTTTTTTTCAGAGAAAAACCTGGTTGCATTTTTAGCTCAAAACAAACTAGTAATTCATATACATGGCAAACCAACACAGTCACGATACAAGGGATTTTGATTATTAATAAAAATTCATCCCTTTTCCCTCAAAGCAATTCTCTGAACTTCTTTTAAAACAGAGTTTTACATTCTTTGATAACAATGAAGACTACAATGCAACTTTAGAAAATGCCCAAATTATTGTGTTAAGTGAAAATATAGAAAGACTGACTAGTCTGTACCCTATGGTTCCAAATATATAAAAATACACCCATATGAAAAAAGTAAGAAAGGACCACCTCTCCACCCCCAACCACACCCCACATTCAGGAGCTTAATTGGGACTGCAGATGACAAACAGCTTCAGCCCCATCATTTTCCATTAATTTTAAAAAATGTTATACTGTTTTTACATATCAAAGACACAAATTAATGTTAAGTAAGAAAATTTCTCAAGGATGTATCCGGACACTATAATTAGCTGCTATTGAGACTTGGATTCATACTCAAAATTCTTACTTTAATCTAAATCTTACCTGTGGGACCTGACCTTCTTCTGTATATGTTCTCTAAAATGAATGACCAAACTCACCTTAATCAAATGTTTTTTAAAAACCCTGACTTTTGTCCACGTTGCAGCTTATAAACATAGAACTACAAAGGGCTGCTTAAGGCCACCAAGCTAGAGGAACAGCAGCAGGCCAGAGAGACATCAAAAAGGACACAGCACAGATTCAATTTAATAATTTGTCTCCCTAGAGCACAGGAACTTCGAATTCTAGCTTGACAGCACCTATTAAGTTACGTTTTGCCAAGATATCTTTGGTGCTAACGTGGAAAGGGAAACGGTTATGAAGTTTGCCAAGCCAAATTCATTCTAATAGACCCAAATTTTGTTATAATATATTGCAACCTCGTGACATTTTGTTCAATACAATTTTTATAACTGTTTTTGCAGGTCACAAACCAAATAGTGTTGTAACTCAGAAAAAGGTAACTCTCATCACCACCAAAAAACTGGCTTATAAAATAAATATACCTGGTTTCTAAAAAATTTTCTATCTATCCTACATGGGTAGGATAGATTTTTGACATAATATACTCCAAACACAGGCAAAGATAACTATCACCTCCCCAATCCATACGGGCTTACCTGGACTACCCGTGTCTGCCATTTTGCATAAACTGAGTTCATAAATTCCAGTGACTCGATTGCTATTCGAATTAAAACAAACAACTGTTTAGCTTCTTACAGCACAAAAACAGGAAAATCTCAATTCCTTCTACTTAAAACACGGTCTCCTGTGTAGGGACTACAGCCCACCCTCAAATATAATTACAGACATTTCTTATTTCTTTTCTTATTCTGAACTTAAGAAGTATATTTTTCCTAGAAGGAGTTTGTTTTCATCCCAATCTTTTGAATTACTTCAACAGGAGGACTAAAATTGAACGATAAACTCAAAAGTTTATAATACAAATATAAAAAATAAAGATCTGCCTTACCACAAGAGAAGAGATGAGGGGGAAAGTCTGACTAGAATGAAACGATGAGCATCAAATCTGGGGCATGTGATTAGGAAGGGTACTGGACCTTCCACGTATTAGTAACACTTATTAGTTAGGCTGGATAGTGAGGCACGGTAATCCCTGTATTAGTCTTGACGTATTTTGATATACCTTAAATAGGAATAAATCTTTAAAAGAAGAAAATCCCAGTGGTAATCAGAATTAATGACATCTGAAAGAACATTTAGTCCCTGCAAAATTGTTCTGCGAGTGCTCACAATGTAATACTCCTTCCTTCCTTCACACACTCATGTGTCCATCAGTATTGCAGTAAATGCCAACACTCTGAAGTTACTGCACTCCTGGTATCAGGTTGTAAGCCAACCCTGAAGCAGCAGGCGAGGGACACCGAGGGCTCAGCTGCTTCTGTAGGGGGCAAACGAGCTGGAAGCTACATTTGTCTCAGAAACTTACGAGTCTGGTGACTTTGAGTAGCCGCTGCCGAAGAGGCTGCGCAGAGAGCGTGGAGGCGAGATCTTGGCATCCCGGGAGTAGAAGACCATGCACACGTCCTTGGTGATGACCGCCGGCTGGATGCAATGATCCAACTGAAAGCACAAATGAGTGGGCTCCACTTAAATGCAGACAGAGCGTCTGTGGCAGGACTCTGTGCACTAGCTTAGTTGGAAAGCTGGTGGGGGCTGGAAGATTTATTTCAGCTCTACCAATTACTTCAATAGCAGCTCGGCAGATAATGTGTGCAAGACTAGGTCGTAGTCCTTGCAGCTGCTTTCTTTTCCCCAATTTTTAAAAAACTTTCTTCTGAAATAATGGCTAATAGTTATTATGTATTATGTGCCAAGCACTGTTCGAATGCTTTTGTATCTGACCTCTCTACACCTTTCTGAGGTAAATGCCATCATGACTACTCCTGTTTAAGAGATGAGGGAATTGAGGCACAGAGAGAGCCCCTGTGGAAGGACGTGCTGGCAGTAAGTGGCAGCACCGGAATCTGAACTCAGACAGGCTGGTTCCAGGGTCTGTGCCGTTGATCACTACTAGGCTCTGCCCACAGCCACAAAAACAAGAGGTGAAGTTTTCTTTAAATTGTATCTTCTTTGAAGAAGGCAATTAGGTTACTAAAACTGAAGTTATAATAGAAGCCATATGACTTTAAGTTTATTTATTATTTTTTTTTAGTAATCTCTACACCCACTATGGGGCTTGAACTCACGACCCCAAGATCAAGAGTCGCACGCTCTTCTGACCGAGCTGGCCAGGCGCCCGGTCGTAGGATTTTTGTGATTACGTAGAGATGAGGAACAGAAGCGAATACAATCAGAACAGTAGCCAACAGTTGACAAAAAATGCAGTCGAATCTTTCCTCCTCATTTCTTGTGGTAATCTGCCCACTGTTCAGGGCTAGCCATTCACGGCGATTTAGGTTCAAAGTCTCCTCACCTCTAGGTACGCTGACAAGGTCATATAGATCTTTTCCCCATAGGGCGTCACTCGGTTCAAAAGAAGAGAGTTATGGAGAGAGCTGTCCCACACGGCCTCGAAACGGTAGAAGGTCCTGAGGTCAGAAAGGCAAGAAGGAGTCATCCAGAAGAAGTGAAGTCACCTTAGTCCAGGTTCTCTGTCAGTAACACTACCGAATCCTACACCAACAAACACTTGGAATATACTGAGATCATTTAATGACACGGTGGTGCCTTTATCCCCTAGAAGGAAAAGATAGGCCCCCAGTCTCTCGCCCCACCCACCATCCAGGAGCACTTAGCTATGCTTTTTTTTTTTCTGGACAAGCCTGCTTCTCTGCCTATAAACATAAAAACAGATCAATCAAAGAGATTAAGATTGCCTGTGGACAGAAACTAAAGGAAGAAAGCCTAAGTAAGCGCCTCCGCAGTCAACAAATAGGGCAGGAAGCAAATCCTCAGGAGCCTGCAATCCTATCTTCACATCCCAGTCCAGTTCCGCTGTGCCTTCGAAATGTCACAAACACCTGGGAGGCCTGACAGAGAAAACAGGCAGAATAATTTAAGTACAGAGAGTCTAATTTTAAATAAAAGAACAGGAGGCTATTCTTAGCTGATGTTTAAGTAAAAGAATGATTTTAATACCAAAGCTGGCTAACTACTATTTGTTACTTTTCAAAAAAAATCCACATGAAAAGCAATCTTCCGCTTCAGTAACAACTAGAAGCTTGACTTAATAAGCACCCAGAAACAGTTTTTTAAGTTGTTCTAATATCTTCCTTTTCTCCTACTGGTAAAGCCCCACAGACCTGACCTGACATCCGTTCTGCCAGTTCTGCAGCATCGTCCGAAGCACCGCACTGAGTTACAGCCCAGCTCCCAGCTCTGCCCGCAGTGCCCTCCACCCCCACTCCGGCCCCATGACAAGTGTCTACTCTGCACAGTGCACGTTCCATCACCACTGGCTCACACCCAGTTCAGCGAGAAAGACTTTCTGCACACTTTGCTTCCTTCTACGTTCCTCCTTGCTCCTTCCCAATAGTAACCTTGCTATTGCTGTCTTTTCTAGATTTCCTATAACAAATAACTTCCCTAAATCAGATGAAGAGAGATAGGAGAAAGACTTCCTTCACTACTGAACCAGGATTTTTTTTCTACCCCAAAAGAAGAAAATAGATGAGACAAGCAGCTCTGACAGCAGAAAGAGAAATGTTTAAAAATAAACAACCTATTTCTCACAGACTCAGCTTCCCAAATAGCTGAACTGGTCTCTACTACCTCACAGGATAAAACCAAGAAAACAGTGGATAATTATGCAAAGCTACAGAGCAGCAAACCTTCAAGCTTCTGAAAGAGAGGACAGACAAGGAGAAGAGAAGACCCAGGCTGAGATTTCATATGAAAGGAGGGGGAGTAACACCCTAATTTGTAATCTAGCAGAAGAAAAGCTGAAGGTGCATAAAAATAAAATGGACAAGAGTTTAGTAAATGGGATGAGAAAAGAAGCGCTCTACCAATCACTTAAGAAGCTGTATGTGAAATTGTACACGCATCAGGAAAAGCCAGGGCACAAGATAAGGTGCTGCTCTATCCTAGGTCTGCATGGGGAAAAACTACTAAATTAAAACAGTAGTCTAAGCAACATAAGACATAAAGCATTCTGATAAACTAGAATCTTTATGTGCAAAAAAGCAAACAGAAAATACCTAGGAATATCCTTATCAAGAAAGAGCCTGCAAAAACACAGAAAAGGCTTTTGTTAGTGCAGTTGCGGAACAAAAAAGTAAAGGAAAAAAGAGAGAAAAGCAAAAGAGAAAAAAGTATATAAAAAAGGACAAATTTGCTGTTAAGCAAAGTGAATCCAAGTGGACAATTAACAGAGAACTCCATGGGGCACAATTTGATAGACAGCTTACAATGACATGGGTCCCTCTCCTGAGACATTTAATTAAGGAAAATGCTGGGCACAGAAGGGATGGTGAACACCACCTCTATTAACACCTGTCTGCAGGTGACTCGGTACTGGAAATGGTAGGAAGCTGCTGTGGAGTGAAGGGAAAACCAAGTCAATTAGGTAACACATAAGCAGGACTGGGAAGAAGAGCAGCAGTGGCCCTTGTGGGCTACACATCCAATGAGCACGCCGGAATGGCTCTCACAGATAAATGTACATCACACACCCAAACTGCAGTCTCTAAGTTCAACTTCAAACATTAAACCTTAGGCAAACAGAACAAAAGCTCTCTTAACTAAATTCTACTTAGCAACTTGCCAAATTAACTTATGCTCTCTGTATTTCCTAATATAAAAAAGGATGTCCATTTTGCAGTGAGCATCCTAAACTAGTGGTATCTCATATGCCAGACAGTTGGCTTCTAAGAGCTGAGTATTGTGCTTATCAAGTATCAACAGTATTTGGTCCTGAACCTGTTTATACAGTTGTACTTATTATAATCATCTAACTTAATAAAATATTAGGCAAATCCATGAAACATGAGGGCAAAAGGAATTTTTGTTTAGTGTGAAACAAAACTAAGTTTAACTTTATTTATTTATTTATTTGGAGAGAGAGGTGTGAGCATGAGTGAGCAGGGGGAGGGGCAGAGAGACAGAATCCCAAACAGGCTCCATGGTCAGCACAGAGTCAGACACAGGGCTTGATCTCACGACCTGATCCAAAATCAAGAGTCAGATGCCCAACCGATTCCGAGCCACCCAGGCACCCCAAGTTGAATCTTTTTAAAAGATGTGATAATGCTGAGTTAAAAAACACCTGTTAAGTTTGGGTATGATCAGTGTAAAAAAAAGGGGGGGGGCAAATAATAAATTTTAATGATAAATGATAAAAAGTTTAAAGGATTTTGCATTTAGATTCTTCATAGGTTTCTAGTTCTTGTTCCACCCAACTAAAAACCAGATGATGAATTATGGGCATGGTTTTGCAAGAATAACAATCAGAAGTTCAATAAATGAGCCTACAATTTAAGGAAAGGCTTTGGCCCTACGGTAAGAGCTTGACAAGTTAATGTACGTTTATATAGCTTAAATTGTTTAAAGTGCGTATCTTTTTTTATTATACCTAACTTTAGCCAACTTTTTTGATTAATTAACTCTAAACTTCTCCTGTGAAAGAAGCTGCTTCTAACAAAAGCCAAATTAATCTACAGCATCCTACCCGTAGCTGGGTATGAATCAAAGGACTTTTGAAGGTTACTCTAATGCAGGCAACCAGCATTTGAACCAAACATCATTGTTCTGTGTATTTTGCTAAGTATTCTAGGGAAATTTAAGATGTATTTCTCATAGTTGCCAAGAAAATATGGTGAATGCCACCTGAATATCTGCTATCAACGTCCAGGTGGAGAGAATACCATGTGGGGTTAATGTTGACTTCAGAGAAACGGCATTCTTCACGATTCTGCCCAGGAATAGATCGGGCAGGGCCAGAGCATGCTTCTTTACCTCTGCCACCCCTCCCCTACCGGCACACCCTCAGATTCCTTCCCTCTCTCTCACAGTGCCTGCAGCTCCACCTACAGGCAAAAAGCACACAGACAGTTGCTTTTTTTCCCTCTTTCTATGCAAAACTGTAACGGAAAAAAATTAATCCTGGCCCAAACTTCTAATCCTGTTTCTGCTTTCTGTCTCCTTTTTCCTCTCCCTCTTTCAAACACAGATGTGAGCACGTTTTTCAGGAGCAGAGAGGGGTATATAGAAGTCCTCCTGTAATGCAAAGGCCACATCAGAACACAGAGCCAACCTCTGCTCCCCAGCCCTTGCCACATAAAGGAGTGGGGTCTGTGCACAGTGACTTAACTCCTTTCCTGGGGACAGAGGGGGGCCCCAAGAGATTTATCTCCAGTCGGACATGGGAAAGCAGACTGGCTATGGACTTTATGCACTGTCATCACTTGATTATAAAATGGAATTTTAAGGGAAACTAATTTAAAATTTAAAGTAAAATTCACTATTTATAGCAGACAACCTTGTTCAGAAGAGTTTATATGTATTAATTTATCACCTTTATGAGTAAATAAAAATGAAAAGCAAACACTGAGACCCCTGGAGCCTCTGCTGGCAGTGGCCAAAGCTAAACACAAGACGGTTCGCTATGCCTCGGAGGGCGTGTTTCCATGACACTCAGGACCAACAGACCTTTCTCCACAGCAACCCCTTCATAGGAAAACAGCTCAGCAACAATTAATTTGTACTTTTAAACCCTTGGGTAGCATGCTGCATTTTCTTTTTCTGTTCTTGTCTCTCAGACTCTGTTACATCTACTCTAACTCCACACAGGACAGAACATTTTCATTCTATACGGATAACTGATCCACATACACCGATCTCTATTTATTTATTTACTTTTGGAGAGCAGGGGTGCAGGGAGGAAAGGGATGTCTGAAGTGAGAAAGGAATATGTTTCTGCACCTGAACAGCAGTCACTGGGTGAAAAAGGAATCTAATGGGGGAGCATCAGCCCCCAGAGTGTGGACTCATCGGGCTGCATAGGGGCCCTCCCTACCTGCTGGAGTTGTGGGAGGACTTCAGGTACTTGGCGGAGATAATATTTAGAGAGAGGATGGCATCAACCGCAGCCTCATCCACCTCAGCCTTATTCCTGATCCGGCCTACAAGGAAGAATAAACAAACTAGGACAGGGGTACACTTAAAAACACAAGGGAGATTCATTAAGCCAAAGAGAAACTTTTAAACCCAGGTACCTTCAGGTGCTGGAAGGTCACGTGGCTCACCACTGAGTGGTCTCCCACAATACACGTCGCCTTCCACTTACTTCCCACATTTAGTCCACTGTGAAACCTGACAGACTCTGTTCAAAAAATTTCTCATATTCATCTCAACTTTAATTTCTGATACCACTGCCTGCTCACAAAGGTCATCCCCTTCCTGTCTGGAACACCGTGGTGGCCACGGCACTGGCCCCCCGGCTGCTCACCTCTCCCCCTCTCCAATCCACCCCGCGCTCACTTTACATAAACTTCTTTAGCCACCGCCTTCATTATACTACTTTCTTGTTCAAAATCCTACAACCGTTTTCAAATTAACACTAGGGGAATCCTAGGGGATGTATGGCATAGAGGTCAAGAGCACAGCTTAGGGAGCTGGACTGCCTGGGTTCAAATCTCAGCTTCAACACTTTCTGGCTGTGAGGCTTAGGCATATTGCTCAACCTCTGAGTCTTGGTTTCCTCCTCTGTGAGGTGGGATTAACAATTCTTCCCTCACATGATTGTTACAACCACGTTATATGTTTGTTATGTTATATTAAATAAACTAATATTTCTAGAGCATTCAGAAATGTACCTGTTACAGAGTAAGCACTACATAAATGTTCATTTAAAAAAAAAAAAAAAAAAAAAAAAAAGCTTGTAAACCACTGCCCTAGACAGTAGAGTGTAAAATCTCCCTTCTAAGGGTTCTTAGTCTAGTCCATAGATACTCAAAGAGTCTGTGTATAGAATTCAGGAGGTCTATGTGCTTAAATGGGAAAAAAAATTACAACTTTATTTTCATAAACTTCTGACTGAAATTTGGCATTTCCTTCAATTATGAAAGGCGAGGACAACCCACAGGAAAATCAGCAGTACCTGTGACTCTGTCCACAGTAGAAATCATAGAAGTTTTCATATCATACTAAGGTAAAATATCCTGACGTTCATTACACTCTGAATGATAGAAATCAGACCCACTGCTTCTTTAATGCATTTAATGCATTAATATAAATAACAGGTTTTTTTTTTAAGATTTTATTTATTTGACAGAGAGAGATCACAAGTAGGCAGACAGGCAGGCAGAGGGAGAGGGAGAAGCAGGCTCCCTGCTGAGCACGGAGCCTGATATGTGGCTCAATCCCAGGACCCTGGGATCATGACCTGAGCCGAAGGCAGACAGACACTTAACCGACTGAGCCACCCAGGTGCCCCTAAATCACAGTTTATATTATAAATCTGTTTAGTATTTGAGAAATTTCAGTACCACTAGTTCCCTTTGTAATCCTATGTACAGTTGACCCTTGAACAACAAGGGTGTTATTGGGTGTGAACTGCAAGGGCCACTTATACACAGATTTCTTTCGATAAATACAGTCACCATTGTAAATGTATTTTCTCTTCCCTCTTCCTCTTTTTTTTTTTTGAGAGAGCGCACATGCGTGAGCTGAGGGGAGCAGAGGGAGAGGGAGATAGAGAATCTTAAGCAGGCTCCAAGCCCAGCACACCTGACACGGGGCTCAATCTCACGACCCTGATATCATGACCTAAGCCAAAATCAAGAGTCAGACACTTAACCGACTGAGCCACCCAGGCGCCCCCTTACAATTTTCCTAATAACATTTTCTTTTCTCTAGCTTTTTAAGCATATAGTATATAACGCATATAACATACAAAATATGTGTTAATTGACTAAGTTATTGGGAAGGCTCTGGTCAACAGTGGGCTGTTAGCAGTTAAATTCTGGGGAGTCAAAAGTTAAAAGTGAATATTCAACTGTGCTTATTCTAACTTCATGTTGTTCAAGGGTCAACTGTACTTTATTTTCTACATTTAAAAACATAATTCTGAGGCTTCACCACTGTCAAAGGGGTTCATGGCAATAAAAGATTCAGAACCCTGCCTTAGACTCTAAAGCTTACATGGTTTAGTCAATTTTTTCTTTTCATCATGCAACCCTGGCCATGGGTTTCTAGCCATTTGCATTTTAGAGACGTTCCTGACTCTCTTACTCAAGATGTTTCTGTGTGTGGAGAACAAAACAAAAGAGATGAAAACGGATCCTTTTTGCTGTTAATTCTCAGCACAGATCTTTCTCACTTGCCCTCACACTTACTCATCAAACTGTTTTGTTATTTTTTTAAAAGTATATATATTTATTTAAGTACTCTCCACACCCAGGGTGGGGCTCGAACTCAGGACGTTGAGATGAAGAGTCGCACACTCCACCAACTGAGCCAGCCCGGTGCCCCAAACTGTTTTAAACATTCATAGGTTGTCTCCTCAACGAAACTGCAAGCTCACAACGAGCAGAAACTTCTCTTATGCCCTTTCTGAGCCTCTAGCACAGAACCATTCCCACCGTAACAGAGTAAAATAAAGATTGGTTGAATAACATATCCCTAATGATGGGGGCTGAGAAACAAGAGTAGTTTCAAACTACACATGTTCTCCACACTCTGTGTTTTCCAGTACTCCTTCCCCACATTCCCCACACTCCTCGAAAAAGCCTGGCTCCAACCTAAGCCGATGGAATGTACTCACCTACCACCAGCTCACGAACATCCTTCCAATGGAGTTCACTCCCCTTCTCGTGGATGATGGTCACTGTGATCCTTCGCTGGATGCCCTAGGTAACGGAGCAGGGTTGCAGTTTAGCTGGCACAATCTATGACTTCTGGACTGTATGGTGTAGGGCTGGGCAAGGAGAGGTCTGGAGAGAGGGGGAAACGCTGCCCCACTGTTACTCTAAACAAAGGGATTTAGGTCAGGGGATGAGGAAGAACCAGGTTCTGACATGGCTTTAAGAACAGATGACCAGATCATATGACCCAGAATATGAGACCCTCAGCTCCTATGCCCACCTGGGTTATAAGCATTTTTATTTTTAAGTAATCTCTACACCCAATGTTGGGCTTGAACTCACAACCCTGAGATCCAGAGTTACATGCTCCACAGATTGAGCCAGCCAGGTGTGCCAGTCAAGCACTGTTGAGCACTGACTGAATCTACCCTTGATTTACAAAAGGAGGACCTACATTTCATGGCCAGATTTTTAGTCCACTGCAACTTCCATCCTCTATCTCCATTAAGAACTTTCAACTGTGAAAGCACAGTTTCCAAACATGAAAACTGTATATAAGAAAATAAAATTGTTTAAAATGACATGGGAGCTGCACAAATTATAATAATTGAATAAAACAAAGTCTTTTTCAAAATAGGTCCTCTAAAATATATTTATATATTTAAGCAAGGGTATAATATAAGCCAAGGTCTGAGGAAGAAACATTAAAAAACAAACATACAAAAAAAGAAAAAAAAAAGAAGGACAAGGTCTCTTCAATCCCCAAATCCACTTAAAATGAAGAGGAAAAGCAGAGAGACAGAAAGAGCTCTGTATCCGTCCTTCCTAGGCCCTCTCTGGCTCCCTCGTTAGTACCTGATGGAGCAAAAACGTCCCCTGGCAGGGCAAGCCTGCTGTGTGGTCAACCACAGCTGGGATGTACCTATAAAAATAGAAATGCACGAGAAGGCAGTTAGATGGGATGCTTGTGCTGAGTGCCACCTCATCCGCAAGGTCCTCCCTGTCGCTACAGCCCCCATGGTCTCTGTTTCCCGTCTTCCTCACCATCTGGGCACTTCATCACATACTCATTTGCATTTAATAAACCTTTTCACTTATCCACACCACATCACCCTCACTAGACCAAAGTGCTCACAGCACGGTAACATCCTTTGGCTCCATCCCATCCTCCTGCATGACAGATACTCCATAAATAAATGTACAACTGCAACAGGAGGTGTCAGGAGGGAAGAAAGGGATCGTTTCAGATTCTAGGTAGTGTTTAAGAATCAGAAAGCAATGAACTCAGTAGACACTATTACCACTGTAACTATGTCTCCCTCATAATGCAAGTTATAAACACATTATAGATCTGTCTACGGAAAGTACAATTTCTTAAAGCAATGTCACTATTGACAATTAAATACAGGACTGATGCAGCCATACTCTCACACAGAGTAGGAACTCAAAAAATTTCCATGGAGCTGATCATGATGGCCGTACTCAGCATTATAAACAGAGGATCATCAGGGTAACATTTATTCCCTACCCCTTACATGAACTGATAAAGCCCCTTGCCTCTGTTTCGGAATGGGATCTTTTCTGTGTGTTTTTCCAAGAGCATTTTAGAGACAACTGTGAACAACAATTATTTTCACCACTTACTCTAACACAGCTCACCCAGAGAAAGTAAGCTGATGTTGATTATTTTGATCTAGGTCAACAATCCTCAACTGGGGGTGATTTGCAATGTCTGAAGACATTTGTGGTTGGCACACTGGAGGGCCGGTGTTACTGGCATCTTGTGGGTAGAGGCCAGGGATGCGGCTCAATATCCTATAGGACAGCCCCCCCATGACAAAGGGTTATCCAGCCCAAAACAGTGCCGAGGTTGAGAAGCCCTGGTCTAAAGAATCATTCTGCCCCCAATCCTCTCACTGAGATTATTAAGGTTAAAGTCCTGACTATATTATGTGCAATATGCTTCTGACTCCCTTTGCTTTGCTGCTGACGGAATCCACTCTGTAAGTTTTCCTTCCTCATACAAACTGCCAGTCTCCGTGTTCTTGGCTGTTGCTAATAAGAAGGCAAATTATTATTCTGGACAGTCACTTCTTTGACAAACATCTAATTCAAAGAATAATGCCACCACCACCAAAAATTCAATTCAAAACTGGAATTCAACAGTGACAATGATTCTTTAACCTGAATAAGAGGCGACTCAAAATTACATTTTTTTTTATTTTGAAAAACAGCCTTTGTTTAAAAATTTAGAAAGTTGGACTTACTCTCCTGTAGGCTCCAGTTCACTGATCTCAAACCAAACCAGAAGATCATACTTGCTCATGCTCTGGCCAAGGCTGGTTTTGCTCATGGTGTTTAACTTGGTGGCTGGAACTTTTAAAAGTTTTTAGAAAATATCAAAATATGGTCCCAGTCTACTTAGTAAAAGCATAAGCTCTTCAAGGACACACTTGGGAAAGGTAACAAGAGTCGGGGTGAGATTTCAACATAGAAGACCTAGATAAACGTCACCATCAACAACATCAGTGCCTCTAAATTCAGAGAACTGGGAAAATGGAGAGTTGGAATTTTTCTCCCTCTCACCAAACAGTATATCTAATAACAAGAAAACAGATTTTGTGCAGAGTAAATGTGCTCATAAAACCATTCAAAAACCTTCCTTAGACTCTCCTATTCTGTGGCATGTTGAGCATGGAAATGATGTGGGAGAGACAGTGTGGGCAGAGCCTCACACCTCACAGGGTCTCCTCAAAGCTGGAGTGCATGAGGGAAGACCCATGCTCCAGCCCAGTGGTTCCCAAACCTCCCTGCACATGGGATCTTTAAGCAGAGCCCAGGCAATTAAATGACAATCTCTATGGGTGGGACCCAGTCCTCTGAGAGGACTGAAACCCTTTCAGATGATTCCAATGTGCCCATTCTCTGCTCAGAACCTGGGACCACTGGAATGGGAATCCATTGACTTGGGATCTACTACTATTCAACCGCTGACTACTAGGCGACTTTGGTTGAGTCGCTTAATCTCTGGAAGTAGGTCTCCTCATCTACAAAAAGTAAATTAGAATATTTAGCCTGCAATCTTGAACAGGTATCATGATGACCCACTGACACGAGGGATCTGGAAGGGCCTCATGACTCACACAGCCCTAGTCAAATGTTAGCCTATTTGCACTATTCACTCCAGCTGAATTCCACATGAGCTGGTGCTGCTAGTCAAGAAAAAATTAGTGTCATTGATTCTGGCGGTCATCTGAGGGCCAAAAAGCAAAATCAGAAGTATTAAAAACAAACAAACAAAAAAACCCCAACCCACCCACTGGTAAAAATCTTTAAAATTAAAGAACCATTGCAGAGAATCCAAGTGAACAAACATAAGGAGATTCCACAACCCCTCCCCCCACCAGGGTGATGTGAAAGAGGCTCAAGGAGAGAAGGTGTGTCCTCACATCTCTCCCAAGGAAACATATTCTTGCCAATGTGCTAGACCCTAGATCCAGTTCAAGCAGCAAACAGCAATGCCAGTATTTCCTACACAGAGAGCCAGGCTTTAGGCTAAGCCCCTGAGGATGGTTCTACACCTAAGGCAGAGCTAAGTCAGCTACTAACCATCTCGTTTGGGTGCCCTCTCACTCTGGCAGCCTGGCACTGGCAGAGAGAGAAAAGACGGCCCTGGGTCCGCCCCATCCTGGAAGGTGGCAACAGCGGAGGAAGCAAGTGCGTTGGCATGCTCAGAAAACGCGTCCAACACATGCACATTCACATAGTCAGCTATGAGAAATCGAACCAGTTCAATCTTTCTCTCATGGTCTGAAGGCCGGATGGAGAGCAGGAATACAGAGGTGGACAAGTACAGGGTAGGGGGGGAAGGTGGCAAGTGGGCAATGAGGAAAAAGGATGAAAATAAAGAAAAAGCAAAACAAGATGAATGAACATGCAGAATACATTTGGTACGCAAAGAAATGCCCAGTCACCCAACAGTTAGAAGGAGTTACATATAAAGCAGAGAGATTTAGGAACAGGTATCGTGATGACCCACTGACACGAGGGATCTAGAGGGGCCTCATGACTCACACAGCCCTAGTCAAATGTTAGCCTATTTGCACTATTCACTTCAGCTGAATTCCACATGAGCTGGTGCTGCTCAAGAAAAAATTAGTGTCACTGATTCTGGCGGTCATCTGAGGGCCAAAAAGCAAAATCAGAAGTATTAAAAACAAACAAAAAAACCCCAACCCACCTACTGGTAAAAATCTTTAAAATTAAAGAACCATTGCTTATGGTTCTTTAGGGAGCTTATCAAAATCTGCGATAAGAAGACCAGAAAGTTGGCAGGGAAGGAGCCCTATCGTTTCTTACTTCTTATTTAAATCAGGAACCAAGAATTCCAGTTCCTGCTAGACACGGGAATATGGAAGGATACACAGGAGTGGAGTGGGCATGTAAAAATGGTTTCTGTCTGAAAAGCCATCCGAATAAGAGCCCCGTCACCCAGAGAAGGGCTCACCTGGCTTGGAGAGCGGCATGGGCGGAGGGAAGAAGCGACGAGATGGCTGAGGCGGGCTGCAAAGGAAGGAAACAAAGTTCAAGGCTGAGAAAGGGTCTCATGTTGACATTAATGGCATGTTTAAATCCCCTCTAGAAACAGATCATTTGCACTTTCAGATAAGGCATAATATCAGACACCAGACATAATCCCACATAGTCAAACTGAGGCTCAGATATTTTAATGAAAGTCCCCTGTGGGTCCTAGCTAATAAGTGAAATATGAGAAATTTTCTGTTAACACTGACACTCTGCCATCACCCAGAAGCCCCCGTCGTTGCTCTCTTCACCAACTGTGATGTCTCCACTTATAGCTCATGCTTCCTGAAGTTCTGGGTAGTGAGGAACAATTACACACAATCCTTGTGTCTTATCACCTCACTTTCTATCCTGTTCAAAGTCTCTTCCTACAAAAGAGATGGTACGCCAGGTTAGCTGGGCAAAATTCAACGTGCTTTACCTATAGTTAGTGGTTCCGTGGCTTAGAAAAAAGGTGGTGATGTTTCTAAAGAGGGAACATCAGGTAACAGAGAAAACTGTTCTTCAGTTATCTTAATCCCTTAAAAGATTTCTTCCTTCCGGACAAGTGGCAGTAAGAGTAACAAGAGCAACAACAGAATCTTTGCTTATCTGGTTCAAACCTGTTAAGTTCCTGTCCTTGCAGATGAAGTGGGTGCTGCTGATAATGCCCGAAGACTTCAAATACTATCGGTTTGGTTTTGATATAGTCCACAAATGATTCAGTGACCTCCACTGCAATCTAATAAGGAATAAAGCCAAGCTAGATTAGGGAAAAATTTACTATAACAAACACACATGTTTGCTGCAATCAGAATTTTAGCACTTTTGAGGAGCCAGTATGAGCTGGGTATTTGACTCAGCAGGCCTCCCACACCAAGACAGGGGCTCCTCCCTGGTTTTCATTCTAAAGCAACTTCACCAAGCTCCAGGCCTTCAAGACCTTCCATCATCTGCCCCACCTGCTGCCCTTCACACACTTACTGTCTGGGCACAAATTCACCTGCTGCTCCTCTTGCCTGTGCTTCGCTCCCCTGTGGTGCCTGGGGACTGGACCAGGCAACAGCTCTGCCTGGAAGGCCTGCCCCCATCTCTGTACTTCTAAGTCATTTCCATACTTCAAGGCCCCCATTTAATAGTAACAACAGTGAGAAAAACATGACTGTTGACCAGGCACCAGGTACAATACCAAGTTTGACCCACCTTTTCTTATTACACTATATGCTTCAGGAAGTTCCCCACCTTTCTCCACCCAACATAACTTAAATTAATGGAAATTTCCATTAATGGAAATAACCTTCCCTTCTTTCTACTCCCTTTGCATTTAAGGAATACCTTTCTGGATCGTGTGCTACTGCTGTTTAAATATTCATTTTATTTCCCCTAAGCTCTTCGGGGGCATGATCCTCTGTGATTCATCCTTACTCCCCAGACATGTCAGGCACAGTCCTTGTGCACATTATCCCAGTGAGTATTTATCAGATACGTGCATGCTTATATTCATGCAATTAAACCTAAAAAAGAAAAGTTTTGTGTTTGCTATTCCATTTTCAGTGTTGTCCTTTCTGCCTGCACTTTAGATAGTGGATATGGTTAGCAAGAGAATTAGAGTGTTTCATGTCATGGTGAAGATCCTGGATACCAGAGCCACATTGCTCTGGGCTTAAACCCCATCTCCGCCTCTTCCTAACTCTGTCCCCCTGGTGAGTGACTTTAACTGTTCTGTGCCTGTTATCTCAGCTGTCATATGGGGGTTATGAGGGTCTATACTATAAAGGTAAGGAGTAAATGAATGAAGACACAAAAAAGGCATTTGGAACAGTGACTGACACGAAATAAGCTCTCAAAGAATGTTAGCTATTGTGATGAGGATGATGACTTTGAACAGAGTTTGGGTGACCCTTCCTAGAAGAGACGGAAGGCCAGTTGTCTTATTCCACAAATGAGAGCTCTAAGGGGCAGTCATGGATTCATCATACTATCAGCTGCAAGGAAAAGAGACTGAATCTTAATTTAGCTACAAAAGATCATTTTAATTTTTTCTACAACGGAGCAATCTAAGTATCTTATAGTTTAAAGGACAATACATTAACTTTAACAAAACTCATATTAAATGCACTTATTTTTCTAGGATGGAAACACTAAAACCAACTCACTGCATTCAAACTGATGGAACATTTTATTGGCAGCCCAACCCCCACACACTCATGGGGCCCACTGTAACTCCGAGAAGGCTGGCCACTCAGTCCACTGAGGATTACCTCACCGCTCTGGCCACTCCCTCCATTGTCTATTTTCACCACAAAGCAGCTTGGATAATCCTCCTTCCAGGGCTGAGAAAGCCAAAGGCCACCCACACAGGATGACTGCCTAACACTGGCCTCTCAGACAGCCCCCAGACCTGCAATGCGTTTGGCAAAAACGTCCATGTCACTTACATTCTGCACGTGATAAAAGCCCAGAGGACTTCCTCTGCCGTTGTTTTTGAGGGGTTCAGTGGAGAATGCTTCGTCATGGCGATGCAAAAAGCTTAATTAAAAAAATAAGACACATGAACTTCGCATTACACAATTTCATCAAGATCTATGTTTTAAGAACCTGACTTGGAGGGGTGCTTGGGTGGCTTAGTCAGTTAAAACGTCTGACTCTTGATTTCAGCTCAGGTCATGATCTCGGGGTCGTGAGACAGAGGCCTGAGCTGGGCAGGGAGACTGCTTAAGAGTCTCTCTTTCTCTCCTTCTGTCCCCTCCGACCACCCCGCTTAAAAAAAAAAAAAAAGAACCTGACTTGGAAAGAAGCAGCCTACTTAAGCACAGTCTTTAACTGAACCAAGTAATTTGTAGTTCCTTGTAATAATACATTTTCCATTATCACTCAAACAGCATTTTAGATTTTATTTCAAAAATGACTGAAAGATAACTGACCCTGACCACTTAGCTATGTGGACACATATGCAAGAGTATCTCAGAGAGCATCAAGAGTGAATTCAGTGAATTCCTGTTTCTTTGTAGGAACATTTTTTACTGAGAATAAAAATTATGAAATCATTTTGTGCAGAAAAGATCTGGCAGATTCAAGCTTCCATAAGGTAGTATGAAAGCCTGTTAGTGTTCTTGCCTAGGAGAGTCTCTGATGACCTGCAAAGATTAGATTTAAATGTCACCTCTTCCAGGAAGTCTTCCCTAACTCACCCAAACAGTTGTGTCTTCCCACAGCACCAGGGACCCATTTCTCTTCAATAGCAATGGTTTCACTCCTTTTTTTTTTTTAAAGATTTTATTTATTTATTTGACAGAGAGAGACACAGCGAGAGAGGGAACACAAGCAGGGGGAGTAGGAAAGAGAGAAGCAGGCTTCCCGCCGAGCAGGGAGCCCGATGCGGGGCTCGATCCCAGGACCCTGAGATCATGACCTGAGCTGAAGGCAGTCACTTAACCAACTGAGCCACCCAGGCGCCCCGCAATGGTTTCACTTTATGATAATGTATTTATATGCCTGTCTCCCCGAAAGACAGCGAGTATCTCCTATAGTTCTCCAGATATAGAAGATACTTCTGAGATACTTGTGAGGCAACAGACTATGTTTATTTATTCTCACAGATAGTGAGTTTTTACTTCTCTCTCCCTCCCTATTAGTCTGAAATAAACAGAAGTAGAAAATTAAAGAATACTGAATACAAAGATTTACTCCCAGACAGAAATATCCATCAGAAGGACATCCCACACCCCACAAGAGAAAAGGGGGAAAAAGGGAATACTTTGCATAGGGTAGAGAAACCAGGATTATGAACTCCCTGTCTTCCAAATCAGTTCACTGAGTCTGAGGACAGTGGAGTGCTCTTGTCCCACATTCCCCATCCCAGATGCCACCTGTTATGAGCACCGAAGCAGTCTGTACTACACGTACCTTCTATTTGCTTTCTTTCCTCTCATTCTTCTTACCCCCCGCCCCCCTCCTTTTTATTCTTTTTTTTTTTCTTCAAGATTTTATTTATTTGAGAGAGGGAGAGAGCTCATGAGAGAGCACGACCCAAGCTGAAGGCCGACGTTCAACCGACTGAGCCACCCAGGTGCCCCTCTCCTTCTTGTTATTTCTTACTCTTTTTTTTCCTCTCCAGACCATAAGCTGTTTATGCCGGGGGCATTACTTGATTTGTGATCTACACTCCTCCAATGCTCTGCTTAGAGCAGGTACAAATATCCTGGGGTTCCACAATGGTGATGCATGAAATCATTCATACTGCCCGACAGCTGCGTCTTCTCTACACAGGCCAGATGAGAGTTTGTAAAAGCTCAAGAAGAATCTGGCCCTTCTTTCAATATGAGTCAACATTCCGTCTTTTTTTTTTTTTTTTTAAAGATTTTATTTATTTATTTGACAGAGACACAGCGAGAGAGGGAACACAAGCAGGGGGAGTGGGAAAGGGAGAAGCAGGCTTCCCGCCGAGCAGGGAGCCCGATGTGGGACTCGATCCCAGAATCCTGGGATCATGACCTGAGCCGAAGGCAGACTCTTAACGACTGAGCCACCCAGGCGCCCTCAACATTCCGTCTTCTCCACAGCTGACACCAGGTGGAGATGCTGCTCTCTTGCTGGAGATTTTAGGACAAAAGATCAACGTAACATTACTGGCATTTCACATGCCAGTTAACCAAGTAGGTCTTTTCCATAAAATATTTCAGTTGCAGGGCGCCTGGGTGGCTCAGTCGGTTAAGCCTTCAGCTCAGGTAATGATCTCGGGGTCCTGGGATTGAGCCCCACGTTAGGTTCCCTGCTCAGTGGGGAGTCTGCTTCTCCCCTTCCCTCTGCCCCTCCCCCCTGCTCATTCCCTCTCTCTCAAATAAATAAAATCTTTAAAAAAATATTTCAGTTGCCTAACTGGTATAATAATGAAAGCTCAAAGCAACTGGATCATCTAGCCAACTCCATCCCCCAACGTTAACTTAGGGCTGCTAGTGAAAACACACTGAATGGGCAAAATCAACACTGGATAGATAATACTTCAACAACAACTGTGAGTCATAGCAAATTATATTATTGGCTTACTATGCAGTAATCACATTTGATTCGGGACTTGGCTAAAATCTCCATAAAGGCAGTGCTTTGACAACTGTATTAGGACCCCTAGAAGGCAGAGAGGCACATTCTGAGAGGGATGGCAGAACTCTAGAGCAACCTCCTGGTGGCGCCAGGGGCCAACTGCAGACTTCAGGAAGGAGGCTCGTGAGACAGCACTCTCTTGTACTGTGGCCCTTCATAAGTACTAAAGAGATCCACTGATGTCTGGAGGTATTAAAACTTAAGACTGTCAATAAAAGTGTTTTCCAAGGGGGGGGTCATGAGAAGAAAAACTCCAGAGTTCCAGAGGGTTATAGGATAGAAAGAGCTTGTAAGTGGCTAAGGAATGAAACCTGTCATATCTTTTCTACATACTATTCTTCAGTTGACGTGGAATTTTACTCTAATTTATTTGTTCCCCCCCCCCCCCCCAAGTATTGAACAGGCACAATTGGTAGCTGGATAATTCATGGCCTTCAGACTTGTTTATTAGTAAGATATTTCCCCATGAAGAGCATTAAAAAGATGAATAAACAGGCTAATCTACATCCGATCCTATATTTCCAGCAGAGGAGGACAGGCCACAGTGTCCAGATACAGAAGATACTCCTGAAATATCTGTGTGGTCAAAATGGCAATACCAGACTGCTTCCTGTTGCTTTTTCGGCAGAGACAGTACAGAAAGAAATGCAAATGCTTGGTAAAGCAGTTGACAAAGACCAACTTACACCAAATTACTCCCCATATAAACCTCTTAGCAGGATACATGGTCACACTCCTCCCCACAGCAAATTCTATTTCATAACATTTTAGGTTTCTGGTTCTTATTCCCCCCTGGAGTGAAGAAAGCTGTTTTATTTCGGAAACTGGTAGTAGTTTCCCTCTTGAGAGTGTTAACACCTCACGTATGATAAGTAAAGCACTGGGTGGTGCACAAAGGATGTCACCTGGGTCAACAGCTAGGTAGGCAGGCAGAGGTGGGCTTACTTGAACTGACAGAAGATATCTGCATACTCGGGGAGGATCCCACTGGCCTGTAGCACAGTTACTCGGAAAGTGAAGGCACTGCCCAGTTTCAGGTGGTTGCCGATCTCTTCAGAAAACCCTTCCATGACCATCTTACCATCCAGCAAAGTGCCTGACTTCAAATCTAAAGAGGGTCAAATGAACACACATATGGTTCAAATATGGCACAGAACACCTTTCAAAGAGGAGAGAGGAGGGCATTCTTTCCATTCCTAGTTGATGAAAGCAACTATCTCCCTTGACGGTGGTCAATATTTTGCCCTCTTTGAGAATGTCCCCAGTCCCCCCAGTCACAGTAAACTCTGTCTACGTACCTAAGTCATTCATTCGATTGATTTCTTCTGGAGGAGTGATGACCTCAGAACTCTGACCCTGTCCTTCCACAATCCTCAGTTCCTCCAAGGATAGACCAGAACGAGTCATTGCAACTGAAGAAAAGTCATTCTGAAAACAAGGCAGGAACAGGTAGATGATCAAGTAGCACAACAGCTTATTTCTCTCAATCTCCTTACTTAATGTCTATTTGCCCAACAAGCAACAGTGACTGGAAAATTATGTGGATTAAGAGCTGCCTGAGAAAAGGCAATACAATAAAATATAAGTAAGGACCTTTACCTCTGTAATTGTTAGACATGCCCTGTGTTCTATGGAATGAGCCCATAGTTATCTGTCTTTTGTAGTTCTAGGTAGAAGAATTGTTTCCTAGTGAACGTCCTCCTTATAAACCTGTCTTCTACTTTCTCCTTCTATGAGTTTTTCTCTCCCTGTAAGGCTTCTCACCTGATTAAAGTACTCGTTATCAAAAGATATTTTAGCTGTTCCTGATTGTCGAATTCCGGAACCATAATCAGGAGCTTCTTCATCCGCTAAGTAGAAAACAACAACAAAAAAGAGAAGGATCAAATGAGACTACATATGGCCCAGATGAATGGCTCTTGTTGGATCATGAGATAAACAGGAAAGTAGCGGAGTGTTCCGGTTCGAGGACTTTAGTAAAAGGAGATGCTAAAGAACAATCTTTTGCTTCAGAAAGGAAAAGCCAGAAGCAGCAAAGTCACAGGGGCTGCTCCCAACTCTACTCAGGTATATTTACCAACCTGCTTAGCTCAAATGAGACTAGTTAATAAAAAATTGGTTTTATTCTTGCTATTGTTCAAATGTATACCTAGAAACACTGATCCTCACTTGGCAAGATGATGCTCAATACCACCCAACAAATATTTGAAGGTACTCGACTGTACTTGCACAAACTTCCATAAACTCAACCCTGGTGATCGTGCCACAGATTTCCACAGGGAACAGCTGAGAGGTCACTCCATACCGTATGGCATTTGGAAATTAAAAGAGAAAAATTACAGGAAATGGCCACATTCTTTCCTCAGAATGTAGGCTGGATCATGGAGAAGTGTAAAATATCAGAATCTTGATCCATAAACAACAAAACAGTAAAGGACAGAAATGTCTGGTACAAGTTCCATGAGAGAAAATTAAGCAAGAAAAAGTCCTGAATATCTTTTGTTACTTCTGAAGCAGTTTTATAAAAGACTTCCGTAAGAGTTGTTCTTTATGTTAAAGGAAATCCCTTCATCCCATTACTCCAAAATAGCTGTGGCCCAGACTAAACAGAATCTATTTATGATACTGGGGAATAATAACTAAAAGGAAGCAATAAAAGCTTTCTCCACGACAGACAAGCCATCATGCAAAAGAACTGGCCTGCTTTGTCCCTAGGCAAAGAATCCAAAGCTCTCACCCGGAAGAGGGTCACCTACCTGCAATGGCCTGCACAGCCACACGTAGAAATCCCCGCACTTCACCTTTCTCACTGACAATGGCCACCCTATGAATCAGGGGCACAGGATACAGCAGGTTGCTCAGGTAAACAAATGCCCTAGAGACAGAAACCGGGAGACAAACATCTGAGCACCCTGCAGACAGAGAAGCTGGCTTTCAGATTTCCAGAGAATACCTTCAGGGTTTCTGGGCCCTGTCTTAAGGCCACCTTTCTGTTCTGCACTACCAGACTGCTTCCTGTTGCTTTTTTGGCAGAGACAATACAGAAAGAAATGCAAATGCTTGGTAAAGCAGTCGACAAAGACCAACTTACACCAAATTACTCTCTATAAAAATAACCAGTTAAAAAACAAAATGACTAGTGTAGATAGAAGAGTAACAATTGGAAATAGACTTTCAAGATGACTGTCCTATGGATACTGCTAAGGGTGGAGAAAAGGGAACCCACTAAAGAACTTAACCTTTTAACATAATGGCGTTTTATTTCTGCCAAGAGATAAAACAGAAATCAGGAGACAAAAAAGGCAGGAGATGTGCCTGAAATACAGTTAATAACTCTAAAATAGATTTCAAGTCACAGCATTATGGAAATGCTCTAGGAAATGACTATTATTTTCAGGCAAGTGACTGACACATACGAGCAGAGAGGTTTTGTAGCCAGAAGTTTCTGAGTAACAAGCTTATAGGAGACTCTGGCTGGACACGGAGACAAATATCCAGGAAGAAAAAGATAGCTCATCCCTAAAGGACTTCTTTTGTTCCTGGAGTCCAAAACTTAACTCAGAAATGGAAACACAAAAGGGAAGTTATAGACCTAATATCGTCTATTTCAAACAAACTAGCAGACTCCCATCACATTTGTACTCTTTTTACTTCTTTCATTATTTTGTATCTTTTTTTTTTTTTTTAACAATAAAAAGGTCATCACAAAGCTTAGGTATGTTCATTCCAATTAGTGGATGTGATACAGAATCTAGTTCCGACTGTTACTCTTGTCTTCCCACTGGGTATATGCTGATCTTTGAACACAAGGCAAGACAAAGAGTAAACATTTGCACCAAGAAATCAAACATAACTGAACGTGACACATATGCCTGTCTGCTTCTTTTCCTGTTCTGAATCTACATTAGAACAAAGAGAAATGGGAAGATGGAGTGGATTTGTGGGATTTCAACTCAAAGTAATGAAAAAAATACTGAAAACAGACAAAATACACCACAGAAAAACATGTTAATAAAACTTTAAGAACATAAATGAAATGTGAATGAAAAGCATAACAAAAATAACTGTAAGTAAAACACTGAATCAGATCAAATGAAGTCTACTTCCCTTTCAGTCTGCTCCAAAGGTAGGGAAGGAAATGCTAAGAAACAGAGGGTTAAAGCTTTGTTGCATAAAAATTAAAAAATGAAAAGTCTTCCAAAAAGGATTACAAACAAGACTCTCAAAAATCAGCTACTGTGACAGAGTTTAAAGACTAAGAATTTGGCATACAGTACCAAACAGACTGCTTCACTTCCCAAGTCAGCACCATACAGACCACCTTTGTCTCTTAATGGTATTCCAGCCACACGTGCTCACTTTCAATGCCTCACCATTACAGAGTCACCGCACATACTTGTCCCCTGCGTGGAGTCCTCCCTGAACTCTACTACCCACCCTCACGCCTCTGATTTCATATCTGCAGGTCTTATTCTGAACACTCTCATGACAGGCTCCCCCAGTGTTAAGTGATCTCAGTAACATACATGATTCCATCATTGTTATGATTTTCATTTATGTGACTGTTTAATTTGTCTGTCTCACCCACCAGACTGCAAACCCGGGAGAGCAGGAATCATGTCTGATTTTGCTTGCCACTGTCTACAGAGGGTCTGGCATATTTATTGAGTAAATACACTCAACATTCAATCAACATGATTGAGCATGTATGTACACACGTGAACAGAAAATGATTTGTCCTCTATCTTTAAGTAGAAGTGGAACATTTTCCAGAAAAATGGGTTACAACAGAGGTAGAGAAGCAAAGCCATCCAACTTTATATACTAGGTTGATTTTTCTAAGATATACTCAAGATGGATATTAACTATAGAGAACATGTTTAGGTTCCTAACTATACTTAATTTGTATAGTTGTTTTTATACTTACACCAGGAATGCCTGTTTCTAATTTTCAAAAAGCTTCCCACTTGAAGGCATTGCATATCATGTTCACACACGCATTACAACAAAGTACTGTTTGAGCACACATTAAAGACAAGAATCTCCTTTCCACCTATGGCAATGGTTATTCCAAAGGTGAAAGGACAGAAAGTATTCTTGTGTATTTCCCGTCTTAGAAAAGAGTCTTCTGTGATTCTCCGGCTATGCAACTGCACGGTCACTAGCCAGCTCTCCCTGTCCTGTTATCAGAAGACAGCCTTAGCCCAAAGTCAATGCCGTAGAAGTTCTCCTCTGAAGTTTTTTAAGCTGGAATTTTTATAAATACTCTGCATTCTTGAGAGTCCTTATACTTTGACCTAGCAGACTGAAGGAGAACAGGAATGAGAGAGGGGAAGATGTAAAGGGTATATTAGCATAAGTTCTGTGAAGTTACATCAAAAGGGAAACAAATTTGGTCAACATAAAGATAAGACAAATCAGCCTAATTATGGTTCTAGTTAAAGAACACAATGTCGGTTCAGACTTAGATGTCAGGATAACCATCTTTTGCCCCCTTTTAACCCAGAAGACTAGCTTAAATATTTTACATTTCATCCCAAATTATGATGGATGGTTCATAACATCCCAGCATGCCATAAGAGAATAGCTAAAGGGACAAGCTCTTTTCATTTTCATATAAAAATTCACCAGAGGCAGCCAAGGCCAAGAAACAAAACCTACAAATGGAATTTCACAAGAAACTGGAAAATTTTACAAGTGAATTGTATTTGCAATTATGTGCCAATATGGGAAATCCAATCCTGTGAAATCACAAAAACAGGAAAGAAGTCACTTCTCTTACACATACAATGACCACTAATATCTGGGTGATGTTGCATAGTTATCAGTTTTGATTGTAGATGAGAAATGTAGTCAAGGGCGAAAAGTAAAGAGCTATCCTTCATTTTACTGATGGCCATGATTTCACCTCCTCCACTAACCTCTTCCTCGCAAGTTAAAGTTAAGTTTTGGAACCTGGGAAGCCGAACATATGGAAATTACTTGAAAATCAAAGCAGAGCTGATTGCTTTATACCTACACTTAATCTGATATGATTAAAATGAATAAAACAAGAGAGAAAATAATGCATGTATCTTAAGCCAGTGAATGTCCATATTAAGTGGGATTCTGACGTAAGTTCTCCATACAAATGACTCAAAATACAAATGCTTTGGAGAACTCTTAACCAGGATATTCACTTTGCTAGTGTGGATGACAGAATCTGACAGATAAAAAAGATCTTTAAGGCTCTCTGCTTTCCTACCTAACTCCTCATTTATACTTGAGAACCTGACAGGCCTCAGTTTCAGCTGAGCGGACGTTAGGCCTCAGACATCTCTTAGGGTCAGTGTTCTTCCCGATGTGCCATGTAAGATGAAGCTACATAGTCCTCCCTGTGCAATGGTGATAACACAGACGAGCAGCATTAGAAGCTGCGCAACTGGCACCAGGACCAAGCAGTTTATGAACAGAAACTTGGTTCTAACTTCCAACCTTTTTAGAATACACAGCCATAAAATAAGAAAAAGCACTATGGTCCCATTATTTGTACATAGAACTACTGTTCTCAGTTTTAATATAAATCAGCTTCTCCGAAATTCTAAGCATCTGTTCCTGGCAATACACCAACAGAAAACAATATTCATGGCTGCACAATCCCTTAATGTTTATTCATGGAAAAACTGAATAGATGTCCCTCCGGTATCATAAAACCCTGAGACTGTCTAATATTAAATTACAACCCATGGTCATAATTGAGGCTTTCATGTCTATCAGAGATCTTGCCTTTCCCTCTTTCCACCACAGTGATCATATGCTACCGTAGTTATTTAATTCTTGCCAGGTGACCAACGTCACACCATGAGCTCAGTGCTAGAACCTTACCTCCCTACCGGGTCAGGATACTTGCCACGCCTTAATTTTTAGAGAACTGGTGTTTATCTGTTTAACACTGGCATGATTCCCTCTTTTTAAAGGACTCAGCAATATGTGGTCCTAATGCACTATTAAGATCCAATTGCATACCTTAAAACCTGGACACACTTTTTGTCAATGCAGCATGTGCTGCACTGTTGAATTTGTAATAAAATTACTTCGGCATGAAGACTGGGTGTAGACAAAGACCCCAGTCCAAGGAGCATGCGCGTGAGAGCTCTGCATCACTGACAGATGGAGTCAAAGACAAGGCCTGTTTGGAAAACCAAACTTAACACACAAAGCAGTTTCATGTGGTGCTAAACAAATATCCACTGTTGATGGTGTCAATAGATAATTTTATGAGATTCATCATTATAAAACCTATAGGTAAAATTTTGGCAGAAGCCAAAGATCTACAGATAGGCTTAGTGAAACTGGCCAAAGAAAGACATCCATTTCAGACAAAAGGTAACTTCATGTTCCGGATTCTTTTTCTGACTCAAACTAAGTAAAAAATAAACCTAACACTACTCCTTTATATTTACTTATTTTTTAAGTAATCTCTACACCCAACTTGGGGCTCAAACTCACAACTCAGAGATCAAGAGTCGCACACTCTATTGAGTGAGCCAGCCAGGCATCCCCTTTTTATTTATTTACTTACTTACTTACTTATTAAGATTTTATTTTTAAGTAACCTAACACTACTCCTGATTCCACTTTTGTCCTCTTGATTCCTGCTGGTGTTACACATCCTTTAGTCTAACCTTGGCCTTGCTCTGCTCTCCTTCTCATGTCATCCCCATATGCTTCTTCACTCACATTCCTACAAAAAGGAAGCATCAGAACATAGTAACATTCTTTGACCTTGTAACATTAGACTCTTAGCTTTAATTACTTTCTCCTCTGGGATTTTCTCCTTCAGAGGGAAAATATTGGGCGGTTTAAGACAGGGGTCCTCTGCGTAGAGCCTTCACACATTGCCGTACGCCATGCCAAGCAGAGTGCGTACCTCACAAACACTGCCTGAGGGCTCTCCCTCGCCAGATCAGCATGTCACAAACTGAATCTGCTAAGGTAAGATCATCCAAAATTGCACAAGGAGCCTCTTTAAAGCAAGAGCTGGTCCCTTTTTGCCCTTCTCACAATCACCTCACCAACCTTCCCACTAAAATGAACCATGGGGATCGGTCGTAAAACGGGTCATGCCCGTCACTGAAGAGATCTGATCCCTCCTCCGTCCCTGCGTCAGAGCCGGTGTCATCCACGAACGCCTCATCATCAAAATCCTCCATTTCATCTTGCTGCTCGTCAGCCAGCTCAGTGATGTCGGAATCGGCCGTGGAAAAAGTGGGGGAGGGTGTGCGGTCAGCAAGGCGCTCATTCACACAGCCGTGGAAAATGGGGGAGCTAGACACCAGGGAAGACGCCAAGGGACACAGCCAAGGAAGGAGAGAGGAATAGTTGGTTAAACAGGAAGCTATATGTGTCAACAGGACAGAACCCACTGGGGAATCAACACAATAAAAGCAAGTGGAAAAGCAAAAGGATAAAATGAGCATAAAACATCTGGTTCAGGTGAAAGGAAATAAGGACTGGTTCTTAGAATAAGAAAAGCAAAGGAAATACATGAGTAGAAGATCCAGATCCCAGGTAAATAGTGTGCTGTAAAAATGTTTATATTTTCCAGTTCACACAAAAGATCAGCAGCCAGGCCTCAAAGGAGCCACTCAACATTTGGTGAAATAAAAAAGGTGATCTTTATTCCAGTTTATTCCAGTTCCCATGTCATCTCGGAGCAGAAAACAAAATGGATGGAATGGTATATGGCAAAGCAAGTACGTGCCTTGCTTGGATAAGATGTGTTTGGCCAATTCAACTCTTTAGAAACACTCCACTACCAGAGTGAAATGGAACAGATTTAACTTCATTTCTACAAAATACTGTGACTTCAGCTCCTCCTTTCTTCCTAGTTCCTTTAAAAATGGTCAGAAAAATTTTGCAATTGAAAAACAATTCAAATCCCGAAATCATTAAGCTCAAAACTTACATGTCTCTGCTTTTTAAATTCTAAACCTCTAAGAACTTGGACTCAGTATGGATTCACAGGGGCACTACTTGTTTTCATTACATGTTGGGATTCATGTATACACAAAGGAGGCTCAGGCATATGGCCAAGATATGCACTTGGCTCACCCTTGGCAAAGACTAATGTGAGATTAAATTGCCTTAAAAAAAAAGAGGAGACACTGGATCAAGGAGAGGTTGCAAGCTGGTAAGCTCTAAGTCATACTATGATTTTAAACTGTGCAACATACAGACATAGGCTTTCTTTTTCTTTTAAATTTATCCTCTTCAACTGTAAGAGGCAGGAAAGGCTGTCAATTACTCTGGATGGAAGATGAGACTTAAGTGCGCACACTGAATAAAACAAAGGGAAGCACACCAGGTGACACACTGGCTGCGTCTGAGTGGATGAGATTACACGTGGAGCATTTTTGCACACTTTTTCTTTACAGAACTTTCTGTAGTATCTGCTGAGGTTTTAAACAAAATCATTCACTATTTAAAAAGAAGACATTGATGAAATCATCACGTACCTTCCTACCAGTTTGAACCAATGGAACCGGTCATAAAACGGATCACTGCCAGTCACAGTGGCTTCGCTTTCATCCTGGGCGCCCGAGGCCACCTCACCTGCCCTGTCATACATCTCTCGCATCAAATCCAGCCTCTGCCTGCATAAACATAAAGTGCACTGGGTTAATATCATGAGATTGCATTAAAATTTCACTTTGGAATTATCTTCCATCCAAGATTAAAAACAAAAAAGCTGCTCCCACCATTTAATGATATTAAAAAAGGATGAAGGTCAAAAGTACAGGAACTCAAAACACTTAGTATCCAAAGTGTCTGAGTCTAGAGACAAGCCACCAAAAGGAAAAAAGGCCACCTAACCTCTACTGAATCATAAGAGAAATGTAGTTCAATGGTATATGACATCTCAAATATACTGAAACAGTACAAAATACCTCACCATGTTAAAGACAAAGGAAACCACATTATAACTTTCCTGTTTATTACCGATCATCAGATCCAGAACAGAAAAGATGAATAATTACTAGACCCAAGACAGAACTAGCTACCAGTGAGCAACAGCATTTAGCACCACAGAAAAGGAAGCAACAGTGACATCACAAGGCAGAGAGTTTGAGGGAGCCCCCCTGAGCAATTCATTATTATTTCCTAAATAAAACAACTGGTTTTATGAGGAATGTTTTCATACCTGAGTTTCTCCAAAGACCAATAATGTGTCGCTCCGTTCTTCAGATCCTGGACTTCTACCGCCACCACAGTACGAGGGAAAGGCCTGTCTTCATGAGTTTTTTCCATCTCAGTGGGAAGTAATTCCGGAGGCAAAGGGGAGTACAATGTGTCCGTCAGCAGAACAAACTGAAACTGCACCTATGTGGAAAGAATAAACCGTTCAAATGGCCTTTATGTTTTCAGCAAGTCAACTTCAGAAACAAGGCTATATAATCATGCCCCATGGGAAAGGGATCAAACATGTAGTATGTGCTCAACAAACAGCTTGTGATTAACTGGGGGAAAAATGGCCACTTGTATACTAGCTGTAGAATAATCCTAATTTCAAATTAAGCTACAGACTTTGTTCTAGCCTGGCGCAGTGTTTTTACACAAACTAAAATCTCAGTACATGTTTTGGTTGATGGAATTTACACCAGAGAACAAAACTTGGACCCACGAGGACATCTCTAGCCTCTCACTGAGGTGGGTGCAGAAACGTCACAGTCAGTTTTCCATCCTAAATTCAAGAATCACAGGTGCTACTCTTAAAAGTGTTTACTACATGGTAAGTGCTTTGTGTGCACCCTGTTCATTTATTTCTTGCTACCACCCTATATCTTCACCTACAAATATTAAGTAAATGCTAGGTACAGCAGCAAAAAGAAAAGACATAGTCCCCTGCCTGTATTTCACCTACTTGAAGAGAGGGGTAAACACTTACAAAATGAAATGGGATGCCGAGATTGAATGAAGAAGATATCTTACCCTGTTTTACAGAACTAGAATATAGGGAAGAGAATGAATCTCCCCAAGGTTGAGCAGTCTGCTCTTTCCTGCCATGTGATACTGTCCCCCGCTGTCATCCTAGTAGCCTCTAGACCATTCAACAGTGGGACATACAGAAGAATCAATCTAAGATGTGGTGTGACGTTCTGGTAATAAGGAAAATCAGTAACATTTATTGCCTTTTACCAAGTCCAAGAGCTATTTCAGCTCTTTACATCTACTCCTTCTTTCATGCCTCATAGAACCCTAGGTGGCAGGGGCCGCTGCAAAGTCCATCTTGAGGGAACGAGGGAATATAGGCACAGGGCCATTAGGGTCAACACACAAGGCGTGCTGGAATTGGAGCCTGGCTGGCTGTCTTGTGTGCAGAGGGCCCGTCCGCTGCACATACCTGCCTCCCAGGCCCTAGAGTAAGAAGGGCACTTAGGACTTATAGGTGCAAATGTAATGGTTGAAAACTAAAAGAAAATTGAGATTTTCAGAAACCCAAGAATAGCATTCTCCTATTAATATGTTTCCCTAGGTCTTAGGGCGCCTGGGTGGCTCAGTGGGTTGGGCGTCTGCCTTCGGCTCAGGTAATGATCCCAGAGTCCTGGGATCAAGTCCCACATCAGGCTCGGCAGGGAAGCCTGCTTTTCCCTCTCCCTCTGCCTCTGCTCACGTGCTCTCTCTCTTGCTCACCCCGTTTCTCAAATAATAAAATCTTAAAAAAAAAAAAGTTTCCTTAGCTCTTGTCAGAATACAGTCTTCTCATTTGTAAATAAGATAGAAAACAAGTTATTTTAAAAATGTCGTGCAATTGGGATGCCTGGGTGGCTCAGTTGGTTAAACATTTGCCTTGGGCTCGGGTCAGGATTCCAGGGTCCTGGGATCGAGTCCTGTATCGGGCTCCCTGCTCAGCGGGGAACCTGCTTCTCCCTCTCCCTCTGCCACTCCCCCTGCTTGGGAGCTCTCTCTCTCTCTCTGACAAATAAATAGATAAAATCTTTAAAAAAAAAATGTAGTGTAATAAATATTTAATGAGTACCTACTGTGGTCTAGGCACATACGGTAAATAAAGGCATATATAACCCTGTTTCACAGCAAACGGCAGCTGAGTTCACCCAAGGGAAAGGCTAGTTCAAGATGAGAGCCATGAGCCCCCTGAGGGTCATCTGCACGTCCAGATGACCCATGGCCTCCCGCCCTTCATACCTTCTTCTTCAGTTCAACGCTGATGGCGTTGGCCTCCTTCAGGTAAACAGCATTGCCCCAGAGTAAATCCCTTAATGAAGTAAACTGGTGAGACTTCCACTTCCGGAAGGCCCACTGGGCCAGCTCAAATTCATGTTGTGTCCAGGGAGCTGAAAGAGCAAATGAAGCATAACAAATGGTGATCTCATAACTACATAGAAATTACATCTCTCCTCTACCTCATCTCTCTTATCAAGTTAAAGTATTTTTCCATATTTCTCCATTCAGCTGCTTTTGTTTTCTGCTTTTCAGTAAAGCTTACTAAATTCTGTTGATATTATGACGGTAGTATGTACATTTTAGAAAACCTAAAAAAATCCTATTTAAAATAGTGCATGAAAGAAATAGACTTTTCTTCCTTTTTAAGAAACATATACATCTAAAAAAAAAAAAAGAAACATATACATCTAATACATGGCTTATAATAAAGAAGAACCCTCTGGTATATTGTACTTCATATAATATCTATTTTTCTTGCTAGTACAAGAAATAAAAAGGTCATATTTTACTTCGATATTAAAAAATTAAAGAATTTAGTACATAAATTAGAGATTCTCCAAAGCTAATCTGAAGCCTTGAGGTTACTGGGAGGTTGGGTGGAGAAACAAAATGTGATGAATGTTCATACTGTATTATAAGGTAATAACAAACAATTAAGGCCCTGATTCAGCTAAGAAATTCTGAAAAACTTAAGGCAGGTAGGCATGACTAAGCAATAGGATTAGAAATCTGCCAGAAATGGCTTTAATATACATTAATATATTCCAAAGTCCTCTCTGGGTAATCCTGGGCATAAACCATAGATCAGCAAATCAAAGAGTTATCTTAATAAAGATTAAGCTCTGTATTTATCTGCAACATATACACAAGCTTCACATGTATAGTAATTTGAGACTATATATGTAAACTGCCCAAGAGATTTCTATAAGGACCGAGCTAAGAAATCTTGTGTTCTAAGGAACACAATCAGCTCCGCTCCCACCTCAGAGAGCACAGTCTGTGTTCTCAGCATTGAGAATCTTTTGAATCACCTTTAAACTCTCTCGGTAAAATATCAATAAATGGTAGGGCCAACTATGATCAAATCCAGCTTTGATCATAGATGAAGGGCTAATCTTATAGTACAGATCCAAAAGCTATAGAGAGGGAAGTTTCCATTTCCAGATTTCACCTTCTTCCTCCTCTTCCTCCTCTTCTGTCGTCTCTGCAGCGAGGGAGCGGGTCTCAACCTGCTTCTGCAAGGCCTGCAACTTACTCTCGTAGTCCTGGATGAAAAGAGAGGAGAGGACATGTAGGAGAGGGAGGAAGTGGATGGAGGGGAGGAGGAATGAGAGCAGTGTTGGGGAAAGCACAGAAAGCAAAAGATAAAAGAGAAGACAAAGGCAGGAAACAACAATAAAAAGACATACAGAGAAATACGTAGGAAAAACCCACAAAGCACACAAGACAGTCTGTAAGGGGAAAATGCTGAAGAAAGCGAACTGCAGTCTCTTTCTACTCCCTCAGACTCAAGGGTTCTTTATTTTGGGTTGAGGTCCAGACAGGGGGGACTCTTGAGGGGAAAAACACGTGTATCCCTTAAATTTATTTAATAGTATTTTTTTTTTAAGATTTTATTTATTTATTTGACAGAGAGAGACACAGCGAGAGAGGGAACACAAGCAGGGGGAGTGGGAGAGGGAGAAGCAGCCTTCCCGCGGAGCAGAGAGCCCAAGGCGGGGCTCGATCCCAGGACCCTGGGATCAGACCTGAGCCGAAGGCAGACGCTTAAGGACTGAGCCACCCAGGCGCCCCTTAATAGTAGTATTTAAGTAGTGCCTTCACACATCAAGGAGTTCTAGAAAAAAACAATACTGGAAAATTCACCAGTATCACCAACAGTTCTGATTATCTAGCTGTTTGAATGAGAACCGTGGACTCTGAACTCTCTGTGGATGAAATATTAGTATTTTTGCAGCTGTAGGATGCAAGATGCAGCCTTCAGGTAACCAAAAGATCACAGTGTATTAGGGCTGAAATAATCTATAAATTGTATTTAGTTATTCAAGAAAGACATTTTAAAATACACTATTATAATACAAAATGTATTACTGTATTATATATATATATATAAAATTATTACTGTATTATAATACAAATCAGATGTATCCTTCATTTCTCCATCTACTCACTCCACGCATTCTCAGTGAGGGTGGTATCACCTTGAAGAGGGCAAAAAAAATGGTTCTTGAAGGATACAAAAAATCTTACTCTTTTGATGCATAAAGCACAAATATACATACAGTATATAAACAGATGCACTATATATCTGAGGTATTAAAATTTCATGGTGGGGAGAGATTAAGGAAAAAATATTTAAAAAGATTCCTTGGAGTGTTAATGTTTAAAGCTTGTGTTATTGAAAATAAATCAAGTAAGGTTAAGAACAGAGACCTTCACATAATAAAATACCAAATCATAGCATAAGCATTGTATTTTAAGATACACTGCCTGGGTTTCCTGCTTCCTTGGGGTGACCCACTTATAGGCTGTCCTGAGACAGAGGGATTCGGTGTGGCCATGTATTGTTTTCGAACAGAGCTCGCCCCAAGTCGTAAGTCAAATATTCTTCTCATTACAAAGGACCACTGAGAGCCTCCTAGCAAACTATTACGAAAGGAGCTCCCAGTGGCGATGCTAAGAGGGACGCAGATATTCTCAAGGCTCATCATTTACCACTGAGTCTCACAGGGGAACTTTCTCTCTTTAGAGGAGCTGGCACTGAGCAGGAGCCAGAGACACAGCTTCAGTCGATATCGAAATACACTTTTTAGGAGACTATGTACTGTGGCAAAAAAAAAAAATTAAATTTGCAGGTGAAAGTTCTGCTCCTGGCACCTGCTCTTACTAGTCTTATAATTCTGGGAAAGTTAAATCTTCTCTACACTTCATTTTTGTCATCTTTAAAATGAACAGTTTAGTTCCTGACCTGTCTCCCACACAGGACCGAAGGAAGAACCAAATGATGAACCATTTAAAAATGCATGTGGAAGTCTTCTTCATTGGTAACACACACTATCAAAGTGACAGGCTGTGTTTTAAAAAGTTTATTTGTGGGGGCACCTGGGTGGCTCAGTCGGGTAGGCATCTGACTTCGGTTCAGGTCATGATCTTGGGCTTCTGAGATCCAGCCCCAAGTTGGGCTCTGCGCTCAGTGGGGAATCTGCTTGTCCCTCTCCCACTGCCCCTCCCTCCGTTCATGCTCTCATGCTCTCTCTCTCAAATAAAAATCTTAAAAATAAATAAAAAGTTTATTTTCTAAGTATACCCAGCACCCAGATCTTGGTTTCTAAATACTATTCCCCACTAAAAGGAACCAGGGCTCTTTAGGAAAACAACCGATTCCAGGTCTGAAGCAAGGAAAGCACAAGGTGAGCTCAGAATATCTTGTACAAGAAAGCAAAGAAGTGCTCAAACATTGATGGGGCCATTTCCAAAGGGCACAGAATCCCAGTAGCCAGTAAATAAGAGTAATAACAGAAACACGATATAGCACATTGGGTATTAAAATGACTCCAGGAGTCCACAGTGTTACTAAAAGAAGAGGGGGAAAAAAGGAGAAGCCCTTCTTCGCTCCCCCGCAAAAGCCAGCTAATAAATAAATGCAGAGGAATGGCAATTAGAAAAACTACATTGCAGCCCCAGATGTAATGGCTGAATCAGGCAAGAATCATTAATAAATGCCAAAACAACTGAGTGAAAGGTGGATGGAGAACAGAATAGTCACACAATCCCAAGTGCCACCCTAGATACCCGTTAATAAGACAGAGAAAGAGCTGGGAAATGTCACATTAAATTTATAACCTTTAACATCACTGATAACAGGACAATTGGACATTTTGTCTGCCAATGTGACACGAGGGAAGTACACAATGTCACCCTGACAGCTTTCTTATCAAACATGCTTAACCTAAATCTAATCTTGAGGAAATAAACAGACTAATCAAAATGTAGCCTATTCAAAAATACCTATGTAATGAAAGAGAAAAGAAACATCATAACCAAATGTAACACAAACTTTGCTCAGAACTGGGATTAAAACACACACACACACACACTTGTAACCATTGTATTTTTTAGACAATTAGGAAAATTTGAAAATGGACAGTATATTATATAGTACTGAACCAGTACTAAATTTCTCGGATAGGTTAATGGTATTAAGAGAATATCCTTGATTTTAGGATATACACAGGGCAGTATTTAGGGGTAAGCTGCATCATGCCTGCAACTTACTTTCAAATGATTCAGAAAAAATACACGAATATGGGTATATGAAGGCTCATTATACTCTCTTTTCAGCTTCTTGGTATGTTTGAAATATTTCAAAATAAAAGGTTGGGGAAGGGGTACTTTTTTTCCCTTAGAAAACCAAATGTTCTATGGGATCCTTTCAGTAAAAAGAGAAAGATGGCTGGTTTACCTAAAAATCCTCAGGTGGGAAAATGTTAATATTTTATCTTGAGGATTTTCTTCTTGTTTTTCATTTTCCCCCAATTTTTTATTATAGTAAAATGCATATGACATAAAATTTACCATCTGAACCATTGTCAAGTGCACAGTTCAGTGGTGTCAAATACATTCACACCATTGGGCAACCACCACCATCATCCTCCTCCAAAACTCTTTCCATCTTGCAAAACTGAAACTCCATACCCACTAAACACTAACTCTCCATGCTCCCTTTCCCCCTCCCCTGGAAACTACCATTCTACTTTCTATGATTTTAACTACTCTATTCCATATATGTGGAATCACATAATTTTAGCTTTTTTTTTTTTTTAAGATTTTATTTATTTGAGAGAGAAAGAAAGAGAAAGATGAGCAGGGGCAGAGGGAGAGGGAGAAGCAGACTCCTTGCTGAGCCTGACATGGGAGCCCGATGCAGGACTCGATCGCAGGACCCTAGGATCATGACCTGAGCCGAAGGCAGACACTTAACCAACTGAGCCACCCAGGCACCCCAGTTTTAGCTTTAGTGACTCGCTTATTTTTGAAGCTTTCTTCAAGACTCATTTTACAAGTTTTATTGCTCAAACTACCAATAAAAACAAAATCCTTAGATTCTGACAGTTAAGGTATGAAGATGACCTTCCCTTTAAAGGCTCTGGTTATGCTTTAGTGGCAGTAAAGCTCACATAAAAAGGTTTCCTGTAACACTATGGACCTAGAATTTTAACTGCATTTTGACTCCGGAAAATTTCTATCAGCAGTTGACAGTTCAAATATCAACACTATAACCTGAACTGGCCCTCCTCTTCCCCAAACCAGGCTGTATATGAGCTTGCAACAAGGACATTTTGTATGTCATCAGAAAAACTCGAAGTATAGGATTTTCCTACAACAAATGGATAAACAAATTTGAATACGATTGTTCTGTTGATTTCACGGTGGAAACTAGGATAATTATGGAAAGCCCATCAAATAACAATATATTTATCAGTAGCCTTTTGTGTTTATAAGAAGTCCCAACTAGTTAGATATATCCCCATATTTATAAAGGTACTAGAGTGGCTGTTCCCGCTTGTAGAATGTTCTCCCTCTCCTTCCCATCCTTGTTTTTAAGCTTACTTTGCACCAGGAACTGTTCTTAATGTTTTGTATAGGTTATCTCAATCTTCCCAAAAACCCCAGGAAGATAGTACTACTGTTACCCTCATGTTAAAGAAGAAAAAGGCTTAAAGAAATTAAGTAATTTTATAAAGATCAGAGTTAGTAAGCATGGATATGGGATTTGAACTCAGGCAACTGGATTCTAGGGCATGCTCTTTTAACCACTATTATGTCTACTACATGCAGATGTTAGGAGAACAGTGGTCAGTAAGACAAAAGTCTCACTGGTGAGGGAGAGAGAGATGATCAATAGTAAACAGACACAAGACACACCGTGAGTTCAGTAGTGAGAAGTACTATGAAGGAAAACCAAAAGGTTGGTAGGTATGGGGGCTGACAGAGAGGCAAGAGGAACAGGAGGAACTTTTAGATTAGGTGCTCGGGGAAGTTCTGTCTGCGGAAAGGACATTTAATCAGAGATCTAAGCAGGCATGCTGAGAGATCTCCGGGGGGAGTGGTGGCAATGGTGATGATGCCAATCGAAAGAGAACTAACAGCAAGTACAATGGTCTTGAGAGCAAAAGGTGCCTGGTGTGTTTTCAGGAAAAGCAAGAAAACTTGTGTGAGTGGAGTGAGGAGCTACAAGGTTCAGGGATGCAGTTGTGAAGGAGGC